TACAGACAAAAAAATAACAAACAGAGAATCTATGTGTTGTATTAGTGAGTACATTTATGGGCCGATGAGTGGAAATCTCGTAATTACTGATAGAAGCTATAACCTTCGTTTGATATCGGTTCATATGCATACGTTGCCTTGATACCACTAACGCATGTCATGTCATTATTTTCCGCCATATTGATACTAGGTATATTGAAATTAATCATACCTTTGTTACACATCTAACATTAATTTATAATATTAAGTCTTATTTACATTCAACTTTTATGCAATGACTAGTACAATGATTAACTTAAAGAAAACCGTGCAATTTCTGTCACACGATAAAATATTTAATTGTTTAGTCACGGCAATTTAACCGATTCTAAAACAAAATACTCAATTCTACTGTTTTTTTTTTTTGTGTACGAGTATAATACACAAAAAACTTCCCTGTGTTAACCGATTTTGATGATTCTTTTTTAATCGATAATATTGTTGTCATACTATATTAGTAGATCTTAAATTACTAATATAAAAAATCTTATAAAATGTTTTAATAGAATTTAACGTAAATGTAAACAAACAATTAATTGACTCGACTATAGTCGATTTGAGTCGAGTCGATAAAATTAAAAACAAATAAAACTTGATTAAATGATTGAATATTTACAATTTGTTACAGTTTCATTTTGAAAATATTTCTGTGATAATAAAAAAAACTAAGTATTTTTTTTATTAATTTCTAATTGAAATAGACTATAATTGCTTATTATTTTTCTGATCGATAGAAACAAAAACGATAAGGAAATACAAGAGAAATCGTTGTTAAAAGATAGACTAATAATGCCCCAAAGACAGTATTCCTACCCATATGGGTTTCCCACTACTTAATATGCGTTTAACACGAAACCGCAATGATTTCAACAATACAACAAATAAAGATGTTTAAGAATGGTTTTTGGTAAATCACAATGCCGTAATCTGTTGTTTATATTTGTTGTTTTTTCATTATTATAATTTTATAAGATTACCGATGTAAACGAAAAGTCGATGTACATCCGTCTAGACCACAGATTCCCAATGGGGCGGCACTAACCCGCCGTGGGTGTTGGTGCCTACCATATCTCAAATAAATTACTATATATTTAATATCAGTCCCATATAACCTTCCATCACACACTGTTCCACACATTTTTAAATTAAATTTTATAAATATGTATTGTTTGCCCTAATTTGAGAACAGTTCTTATTCATTTAGGAAAAAATAACCTAATTTTTTTAAATTGGTAAAAATAAAAAAATTAAATTAGCTGGAAATGTTGACCTTTTCCTTTAAAGGAGCCATAGCCCAGAAAAATCTGAAATCTATAGTTTAAACTCTAGAAAATATCAAATAGGAAAGAAGATACTTTTTCATCATTCTTCTGTCATTGATCCTTTTCTAAATTACCAAATCAACACATCTGCTTTTCTGCATCTGTCATTACAACATTATTCCACCCATACTTCTATAATCACGCTCTCATTGTCCTATAAAAAATAGTTCAAAAATCTATCAAGTGCTATAAATTACCAACGTTAACATGCAATCGATGTAGTATATTGTCTCAGCCATAAAAGTAGGCCGCCCACGGCATCGCAGGCATTTATTGGAATTTTACGCCCTTTGTCACCTCTTGGACTCTCTCACTATTATGACTTATTTATAAAGTGTGGCCTCGATCATCATTCAACTAAAAATTAAAAAAAAAACATTTAATCGATACTAATGGATTGTTAAAGTCTTCGAAAGTAGTTCGAATAGTAGAAAGAATCAGTATAATTAAGTTATTAGTTTTTCTTTTAGCTATATAACATTCTGCCGTGTAGTTATTTCCCGTGGGTGTCGTAAGAGGCGACTAAATAAACTTAATACTCGAGGGATGGGCAGCAGCGTCCCTCTTAAAATATCACCAAAGCTTACTATGGTTGCCGGTTGTACAGCGTAGCAACTACTGGCAAAACCCCCCAAAAGGTGGAGACCTATGTTTAGCAACAGTTAACCGCTGATACGATATAACAACATTTTGACAATTCTTTTTTAAATGTTACCTCTCGGAGTATTAACGGCTTAATCAATTTTCCTTAAATGGGCATATACATTGAATTTGAGACGGAGAACATAGGTTACTTTTTAATCCAGTAAACCAACATTTTTTTTACAACACACGAGCATGCGGCTCACCTGATGGTAAGTGACATAATATAATAAAATATATATATATAATAGCAAAAACTAATTCAGTGTAAGACCGATAAGCATCGCTACCGTTCCGCACTACTACCATTCTCGGGGGGAAGGGACTGTTAGTAATAGGGTCTTAACAGTCCCATTGTCAGGAATATATCCTATATCCTGTCAGGTCGACTTCCATGCAGTTCCCCTGGAAACCATCACGGTTAATTCTTATGTAATTCATCACGGTGGGCTAACTGACCTGCTTTCATCATCACCTATCATCTATCACTAATGCCCCGTGTACCGTGTAGCGTATACCGATAGCGTAGGCGGGGTTACTATTCCTTTATTATCCATAAAAAAAAACTACCATTCTCGGAGTATAGAAGCCCCATTGCAAGCAATATATTCTAACAGGTTAATTTTTGATGAATCAGTCACGATGTTCCAACTGAACATTTACTGATAGCGCAAACGGAATTACCATTCTACTATCACCAATATAAAAAAATAAAACCACTGTAAGGACGGACAGAATATAGAAGATTAAATTAATCCTTATTGAATCTCGAGTCGACTGCTTTGGATATATCAACAAAACGAGATTATATGTAGTCTGACTCCAAAGGGCACAGTTGGTGCGTCACACAGCCGTGGAATGCCTTACAATTATCTCGAGACGAGATCGCATTTCTTCGGCGCCACTAAGTACGTTTACTTTCATTATGACGCCATGGCGTAATAACAGGATCTTTTTGTATATTAACACGTTACGAGAATGTAATCGCATTTGCCTTCATTTGCAATCTCTGCAATGCAAATCTGCAAGTATAGTTATTTTATGACCTATAACGATAAGGGGAACTAAAAACCCGCTATAGACTAATTGTAACACTATATAACATTATAATTTCGTATAACCCGCCTATGAAAATGTACTAATACATTTATATTCTGACCTCAACGTGAGAGTACTATTAAACACGACAGGTTATAGGAAATAAATCGAACCTATTAGAATTGACAAAAAATAATTAATTTCACTTCCCAAATAGATCGTATACTATCTGATGAAGGAGTCAAGAGTCTCCAGAACTGGAAATGATGACATAAAATTGAAATAAAATTATCCCAATTATCATTTGGGGTTGGCGTGATATGTTTTTTACCCATATTACGAAAAGACTTGGCTTATAGTTTTACATCCGGCCACCTGCCTGACGTTAACCCTCTTTGGGATTGCATTTGTTGGTTTCCACCAATGGTATGGAGAAAGGATTCAAGAAAAAGAAAATTGAAGAAAAAGGAGGGGAATGTTGGAAAAACATAAAGGAAATTGATAAATAAGAGACATAAGGGACTTATGTGGGAAAGGAAAGGAGTGGGACACTGCAGTTGCAGAAGGATTGTAGCCACTGTAGTACGGCTCGGGAGGCCAGAGTTGCATACCTCTATGCCCTTATTCTAAAATTGGACAGATTTCTAGAAAAAGACATTGTTGTAATTTACAATCAGAAGAAAATTTAACTAGACAACATATTTGTAAGTCATATATTCATAAAAAATAACAAAATTTTGTTATTTAATTCTATACCTACACATAATTATTAATGTAGAATATTATAAATGATATCTAACTAAATATTTAAACAACAATTTATGCACTAGTTAAATTTGCTGAGCGCTTGGTCAGTTACATATCCAATCAACTAATTTTGCTTAATGAAAATTAGCACAATTTTGATAAAAAATGACTTGCTTGATTCAATAAAGCAGAAGATAAAAAGAAGTTAGTAATATAAATATATATGTACAAATGCTATTAAATTATTGTTATTATAAAAACTAATATGATATAGTTCATATTTAAATTAATATTACATCTATGTTAATCTCAATATTTACACTAAGTCACACATTGACGTTAAATCTGTCCTAGTAAATATTTCATAACATATTAAAAAAAAAACATTATTGCTAATTTATTACAAAATCATTTAAGAATAATCATAAATAATTATAGTAAATTATTATAATTATTATATCTCTATCTATATGATCATATTTATTATATACTAGTAACCTGCCACAATGTCTTAATTTTTTTTAATAAAATATAAATATAGCTTTTATTACTCTCTGATAATGTAACTTTCTATAAGAAAACATTTTTGAAAGCGGATAAGTTATTTTTGAGTTGATATTTATATAAGGACGAACAAAAAATCAAATCTTTCCTCCTTTATATTATAGTTTAAAAAAAGATATTTATACTACAATCAAGAATATAATAATAATACTATTTAATATTGTCATTGTGCAACCTCGAAAAAGATAGAATAAAATGAAAAAAATATATAATTAAAATCCATTACACCATACTCACGGAGAGGCAATGAGGAACTGGGGTCACTTGACATTGTTTATATGTTATGAACATTAAGATGTAATAAATAGATATTTAATATTAACCGTGTGATTTAGTCATATAAACAAGTTTTAAACAACAGGAACTTACCTAAACAAAAATAACTACTCACTCTAACTACCGCCTGACTGGTGTAAACGAGGCAAACGACAAAACCGATACAAATCAATTTTTTATAGACATAAACAATAGACATTATAATCACGTATTCACGTATGTTAATTATAATGAATTATTAATTAAAATTGTTCGCCTACAATGAAAAATTATAACTGTACAGGAATCAATATATATTTGATATTTGCTTTAACGGTTATTAAGTTAAAAATTGCAGGCTATTATTTACACAATAACAAAGTATTTACAAACCTTTTCTTCAGGCACCATTTATTATGGAGAAGATATGAATAATAATAGTAACATTCCCAGTATTTTTCATGAATCCACACAAAAACAATTTAATACAATCAATTCTATTTTTATATAAAAATAATTTCCGATAATCGCACCGAATCACAGAAATAAAAAATTGTAAAGATTAATTAAAATCAATCAAATAAAACTAAATTATTAAGCAAATTTAAGCACTTGGCAGTTATCACTGTCAAGTTATGACTGTCACATACTGCTGACAGATTAGAGAGACTAGTGTATATACGGTTAAGGATGTCAATGTCAAAGTTGTACACGTTTAATTTGGTGTATCATAGATATAGAATGCAAGTGTAGTGTATGTAGTGTGTGTTAACTGAGTAATTTAAATTAAATAAATTTTTATATTATTAATGCCATCTATAGAACAAATACGGTACATAGTCACTATGCTATTAATTATGAACAATATGTAGGTACCCATAGATATTTTAATATAAAATATTAGACTGGTACCATCCAGCACGATGGGCATAGAGAAAAAATCGAAATTATCTTAGTAATTAATGACATTGGATTGACATATAACTTGACAGTGGAGTAATCTTAATCATCTGGAAGTTTTTGTTTGTTGCGCAATAAAATAATCACAGTACCGGAGAAAAACAAACTTCATCTTCATTTATTACTATTAATAATTAAATCCTCAAGTTAATTCCATTATGGCAACCAACACATTAATGGACAGATTAAGAACATTCTTTGGGTTGTGGCAAGAGCCACCAAGAAATGACTTTCGGAATCCGATATGGGGGACGGACGACGACGACGATGGAGACGAACTTTATACAAGACAACAAATAAAGCCATACGACCCGAACGACGTGCACAGAGAATTTTCAAGGCAAATCAATGAGATGTTCAGATCTTTTGGTAACATTTTCGATGACATGAAATCATTTTTTCAAGACGACCACTTCGAAGACTTCGCCGGTTTTGCTGATATACCGAGCGAGCCCGAAAATTTCAATAGCAAAAGCATACGAGACTACTATTTGAAACCTGGTTACCATAATCAAAAACACGAAGAACCTAAAGACATGGACTTAGATGGTAAGATTTCGTCGAACGAAATTTCTGGATTGTTGAAACAGAAAGATGATAAACGTGACCACAGCTCTTTGGTACCATTTAGTGGTAATATGATTCCTGGCAGATCATTTTGTAAAACTGTTATTACAACAAGTGTTACTAAGCCTGATGGAACAGTTGAGACTAGAAGAATTATAAAAAATGGCAATGATGTTGTTGAAGAAACTGTTACTTCAACAGGTCCCACTGACTCTAGAGGTCCATACAACACCAACTCAGACTCTTTTGCTCCTACAGGCTTTATTTACAACCATGTTATGACTGAACTGTCTTCATTGTTTAAAAATTTCTACTGAAGTTTGCTTCAATTGCATATTAGATTATGCATTAATAGCAAATATAATACTTTTAGCTTCTTAAGTTTCAAAATTGACATCTTAAATAAAATTTCTTGTTCATCAACAAGATAGTTATTTTATGGATATATAAACTTTTAAATTGTGATAACAAAATATGTAAAATAGCTATTATAGTCTTTCTAGGGCTAATGAAATGGTCTAATTTTTATTATCTACTTTTATCTTAAAAATTGTAGGTACTTAAAATATCTATACTATTTATTCATATGATATTAATAAACTGTGTGTTTACACTTGAGCAAATACAGTCTCAACAATCTTTAGATGTTTTTGTAACAGTAACATTTTTCTAGATTTTAAATTACTGTGTCATAAATAAAAATAAACATTATAATTCACATAATTTCAAGCTTTAGTAGGAAAAAATTGAAATACTAATTACATAGCAGTTAAGTAAGTGGCCAGATTCTAAAATTTCTGTAGTTTAAAAAAAAATATTTGCTAATTTGATTACTATGTAATTTTAGATAATGGAATTTGAATCATTATTTGATAAGAAATGATAAACATTTTGATTGTAATAAATTATTATATTCTTACACATAAACAGTTGTAGAGAGCACTATTGGTAAATAAATAATGAATATAATAAATACTTTTTATATTTGTTTACTGACAATAACAAGCGTCCCGTGTGTTGCTCCGAATCCAAGTTAAATATCGGTTGACTCTTGTATACACTCCGGGTGTCTCGGGCCTGGCACAGCCCTCTCCCCAAGATACAATACCTGAAATTTAATTGCTTAATTTAATGTTACAGTTGTCGTGAACATCATTCAAATTAACCATGTTTCAGTAAGTACATTTGAATTATGTGGTCTCTTATAATTGCAGCTAGTTATGCAAAAAACAGCCACATTACCTGAAATGTCCGTCATAACCCTTTCAAACCCAAAATTTTTTTTCTTTCAAATTAAATATATTTTCGTGTTTTGGAGCCAAGCCATCTTGCTGGCACGCACGAGACTACTGCACCACCTACCCGCTAAAATGATTTCTTATTGGCTGGTTTAGAATCTCACTATCATGTTATTTCAGCTTCATGCGTAAACATTAATTGCGCGCGGTTATAGAATTTTTTAAAGTTTAAACTCACGCCCATCATCGTTCAGGTCTGAAAGGGTTATATGACTATTTTCATCATAAATATTTAGTTTGCCATTCCAAGTATCATAAAAAACTATTGTAGTATAAACTATGCTAATATTATAAAGATGAATGATTTGATTGTTTGTTGTCAATCCATTGATTGACTCAAAAACTACTCAACCGTTTTTAAAAATTGTTTAAACTACACAAAAGTCGTTTATTTGGGCACCTCTATCCCATTCGTGTTTCTACCGTGAAGCAGTTGTATTGCACGGCTTTGTTTCGGTTTGAAGGGTGGTATATGACAGTGAATTTACAGGGTACAGAAGAATAACGCCTGAATCCTCAGGAATGGCAACGCACGGGGGATATCATGGGCGATACGGTATACTGTTATCTCCATGATACTGTTCATGTCTATAGGCGACGGTTACCACTTTCCATCAGGTGGACCAACAGCTCGTTTGCCATTCTAAATTGCAAAAAAAAAACTTATCAGCTACTTTTATAAGCTATACGTTATTTTCAAAACAATTTAAGATCCCTACCAAAATTACAATTCTGTAACCCAAGGTATCAAAAATTTGCATATTAAAGTTATTTTTTTATTTACTATAACGTCAGCCCCTTAACTATCCTTACTGAACATAGGTCTTCCCCATAAGGGGAGTTTTGCTAGTAATTTTCACGCTTGACAGGCGGGTTGACAACCGCAGTACAGTATTAATTAAAGCTAATATAAAATACTAATTTATCTTTCTATATATCTAACCGTGCAAAGCAGGGGAAAAGGGGTTGTTAGTAATGAGATATAAGAGCCCCATCGCTAGCAATAAACCCTATCAGGTCAACCTCCTTCATCCTCACCTATCACCCTTCAATGATACACCGCCAGCGTATACCGATAGCGCAAACGGGGTTACCATTCCATCTTCACCCATTAAAAAAAAAAAAAAACATGCAAAGCCGAGGCGGATCGTTGATATATCATAAAAAAACATTTTTTGTTAAGTGACGTATACTGACCAACTTCCTGGTACTGCTCATTAGTACTGTTGAGAATATGAAGAGGACCGCCGGAGTCGCCCTGGCAGGCGTCGCGGCCGCCCTGTGGCTCGCCTGCGCACAGCATGTTGTCAGAGATGCGATTCCCATACGTGGTTTGGCGGCACGCTTCGTTCGATATTATTGGTACCGAGACCTAAAGCAACATAAAGGCAACCTTTATACATAGTGTTACAAACAATTGGAAGAGCTTGATCAGTCAATAATAATATCTATTATTCTCGCCTTCGTACATTCACATCTTATATGTGTGTATATATATATATATATATATATATATATATATATATATATATATATATATATATATATATATATATATATATATATATATATATATATATATATTTGTTTCTATATGTAAATTTTATTACTACTACTGTATTCGACTATTCTCACATTCCCTAAAGTTGACTGGGAGAAAATGCTTTTAGCATTAAGTCCGCCTTGTACACATTACTAATGAATAAATAATTAAAATAATATACTTCTAATATTAATATAGTTCTAATCTGAGCCTTCAAGAATGGCAACGCATGGGGGTATCATGGGCGAAACAATATACTCTGTTATTTTCATAGTACTGCTCATGTCTACAAGCGACGGTTACCACTATCAAATCTAAAAAATTATGGTAAAAAATCGATTTTTTCAGTCTACAGTAAAATATGCCGGAATCGAGCTTTAGTGGACTAATACAGCAGTAAAAGACATGTATAGAACACAGTAAACGTAACCACAGAACGTAAACACAGCTTGATACCGAAAAAAAAAAATACGTATAAAAAAGTTTGAGAATTGATTTTCTTTTGAAAATCTTTACCAGTTGTGCTCACCTCTTGCAATGTACTGGACACCGACCCACCCTCAGAAGTTGTACCCCAGCCTGTGACGACACCACTGTAGTTGGTGTACGAGAGACTGGGACTGGCAAGGCAGACGGGGCGAGGTCCTACATCCTCGTTTTTGTCCTCATTAGAACCGCTCTCGGATGACCCACTTTCAGAGGTTCCGTCGGCTCGAACTCGCTTTAGAGCATTGCTAAGATCAATCTGTGGAATAGAAATAATTGTGATAACGAGAGCAACGAATAAGAAGACGACGTGTCGCCAATAAAAGGAGAGAATTGTTAACAATGGGAACTAACGGTTCCTATCTTTTTTAAGGGTGATAATGAAATGATAACCCTTCCTGTGCTATCGGTATATGCTGGTGGGACATCAGTGGTAGATGACAGGTAAGAATGAAAGCAGGTCAGTTAGCCCATCGTGAATAATTCCATGAGAACCACGATAGTGCCCAAGAGGAACTGCTTGGAGGTCAACCTGACAGGGTACATTGCTAGCAGTAGGGCTGTTAGAACCTATTACTAACAATTCCTTTCCCTTTCTTATTCCTTTCCTCCCTAACGGTTCCTATCAGATCGACCTCCATGATCCTTCCTAGAAAAATCGTCACAATGGGCCAACTGACCATAGTCATATATAATAATTGGGGAAAAAACAGGGTTCAGCCATGCTCTTGTTGTAATGAGAAGCTTGTACCCAGCAGGTGGAATTTATTAAATTACATAATATAATTCCATTCTTAAAACTCCATAATATAGAAGGCAGGTTGTTTTGCGTAATATATATAAAGATTCAAGTTCGATTCCCTATCGCATTTCAGCAATACCAATGTGGATAGTCAAACCATATTAGAATCCTAATATGTTTCTTCATGCCACATTTTATATCTGTATGCGTTACATAAATTTAAAATATGCTTGGTATCAATCTTTACATCGACTCTCTGAAACACCTACTGAGGTAACCAAAGAGAAAGACAGCGTTATATTCTGACGCGCCTTCATCTCTACTGCAAAGTACAAAGCTTGCTTCTAATATTACATTAAAAATATAATAAGTTTATTACCCTCTGATCAAGTTTCAGTAATGCAATATCATTGTCATAAGTGCCAGGATTGTATCGCTTATGTCTGATTACTTCAGCCACTTTCCTGTCGATTGTCTTGGTCTCGTTAGCACTGGTGCGGTCGTGCTCTAAGAAACGTACCGACATTCTCTCCTTTCGGAATCTGGAAAGTTGTAAAAGTAAAGAACCGTTAACATAGAAATATTTGTAAAAGACAGAATTAGAGAAAACACCAAAAATTTACAATTACAAATAACAGAATTACTAGATGCATTCAATTGATAGATTCGATGAAAGTAAACTTAAAAAAAATGATGAATATCGAATCACAAAAGACGAAGACTTACAGGTGAAATCAAAGTGGAAAAATAATAATTGTATTAAAAGAAACATGGATTGAAAAATGGGCACACCCTTAAAACAATGCCAGTCATTTCGATACCCATATAAATATTTTTAATACTTCATTGTTTTATTAATTGGCAGTATTTTTTCAATGTTTGAATCATCAAATTCTTGCTTAACTCGGTTATATATATATATATATATATTATATATATATATATATATATATATATATATATATATATTATATAATGTTATTGACTATGCCAAAATAATTTAAATAAACGTACCCAACAGTACAATGTCCAGCTGTCAGCACATACAGGTCATTGAGCAGGGAGCCACCGCAGTAAAACCTACCATTGTACAGCAACACCGCCATCCAGGGAAACTCCAGTTGTTTCGTCTCCGAGCCTCCGACTATTCGTCGACGTGTGCGAGGTATACCACATTCTACAACATTTACAAAACCACTACTTTTACTGCCATTCTTTACTGGTTAATATTATTGGGACAAATTACAGGATTTTTATGGTACATAGAATGACAAACAAGCTGATGACCCACCTGATGGAACGTGGTAACCGTCGCTTTTTTTATGGGTGATAATGAAATAAGAAACCCCACCTGCGCTATCGGTATACATCGGCGGGTCACCAGTGAAGGATGACAGATGAGGATGAAGCAGGTCAGTTAGCCCATCGTGACGAATACAACAAGAATTGTTCACAATATATATATATATATATATATATATATATATATATATATATATATATATATATATATATATAATTTCAGATGTAGGAAAAGTCATGAAATAGATAAAATATCAAGACAAAGCATACACCTATTTTTAAGACCTTCAAGTATATAGTACTGAAAACCACATCCAATTTAGTGCAGTAGTTTAAGCGTAATGCTCGAACAAATATGCAGACAGATACAAGGGCATATTAATGTTAATTCAAGTTCGGCAACACGCACGTAACACCCCTAGAGTTGCAGGCGTTCATAGGTTACAGTAACCATTTACCGGACTGTATGCTTGTTTACCACCTACATGTTATAAAAAAAAAAAACAGTAAATTTCTAAAAATTATTGTTTCGGCATCTATTGTTCTTAATAAGTCATAATTTTATTTTATTTTATTATTTTTACTTTCATAGGGAAACATACATTACCTAAAACATATAAATAGTTAAAACAACACATAACATAAATCGGTGAAGTTTCTACAATAAACTAATCAAATAAACGAGAGCAGATGATTAACATAAAAAAAGAATATATACATGACAATACAAAAAAAGAAAAAAAAATAGTTTTTTCTCAAATATGCTTGGAAATGTGAGCATTATTTTGAAAATCTTTGAGATAAATCAAAATTGCCGTACTAGCCAGATGCAGCGGCCGGCAAAAGTTGTATGAAAATCCATATCTGTCGTGTTTTGTGGCCAGATAAATTACTATGTAAACTCATGTGTATCCTGTAATTTAAAAATGAAATACCTTTTATTCGAAATATGGCTACCAATAATACAAGGTTTAAATTTCAAACTTGTGCAAATAGAAAGCTGTTTATTGAAAAAAAAAACAAAGGAGCATTATGGCGCGTGAAAAATTATTATTGTGCGTTATTCGTCATGGAACTTAAAAAGTAAAATTGTGTTTTTAATTTCCGTGCATTATTTGAGAAAACTACTATACAAGCCAGTGTACTAGGCATTGAGAGAGTATGTATGCCTTGGCTACGCCTCGGCCCACATTTGCACGTTCGTCCATCAATGCCTCAGTTGCTGGCCGCTGCAGTAATGTACTATAAATATCTGCCATGTACAGATACCGTCTAATTACAATTTTGTTATATCAGTTAGATAAGATATATTGAGAAATAGGTACTAACGGCATGAAGGACAATTCTCAGGCGGATCTTGCGGTTTCGACGTGGTGGTCTGCGGTCCCCCCAATAGATTCGTAATCCATTCAATTAAACCTTTGTCTTGATGCTTTCCAGGGCTAACGGTGCTCGGGTTCTGGGACCACACTGTACTTATGAGGCATACCACTATGAGTAATGTTCTCATTCTGGCTACTGAAATTACATAAAAATACGTTAGAGAAGACGGAGATATTAAGAATGGTAACCCCGCTTGCGCTATCGATAATTCGGTATACGCTGGCGGGGTACCAGTGATAGGTGAGGATGAAAGCAGGTTGGTTGACCCATAGTGATGAATCCATAAGAATTAACCACGATGGTTTCCCGAGGGAACCACGTGATGATATGAGAAAGGAATGAGTAACAATTACATGAGTAACAATTCCTTTCCCCCAGCTTCGTATTTCAAAGATTGGAGGCGGGTGAACCCTGCCACTACACATACACACTTTAGATTATACAGATAGAGCATCGAGTCTCAAAAACGGGTGAATTTTTGTTAGCTAATTGTGAAATTAGCTGACTCGTTTTTTTTTATCAATGTTCTATATACTTACACACACAAATTATCTTGACGGATTTACATTTAATTATTTAATAAATAAAATATGTTTTTACGTATTAAAAAGGTATAAAAATTATAAGACAAAATAAGTAGAAAAGTTATAAAAGAATCACTCATAACTATTTCTCACGCAAAATTATATGAAAAAGTTGTCTCGCTTTTCTCGAAACATTTGTATGGAGGCACTCTAGGTATCTACATAATCTAAGATACACACATTGAAAAACTAAATCTAGTATTTGCATCAATTATATTTATATATGCACAACATTGAAATAGTGCGTTCACACAAAAATGAGGTTTCTAGAATAAAAATCATTATAATAATTTACTACTGATTCAAGTCAATAATTGAAGACAATATTTTGACCTCACGCAAGCTATTATAACTTGTAAGTAGTTATCAATCAATAAATGAGTCAATGAAAACTTAATGTTGCAGTTATGATCTCCGTAGAATCAAGGACAAGAGGAAACCGGGTCAAAAAACTGGATTCCGCTTATCCAGTGTACCGCTACCTCAATCACTCAGATCATCGTCTTGTTTGCATATTCATTTTAGCATGTGCGATGTAACGCCTATGGATCCTTTCGAAATTTAAAATTAGAAAATCCAATGAATGACGTTTGAAAACGCTTCAAAAATATAAATATTATGGCATGTTTTAAACAATGGAAACGAGTAAATAATGGAGAAAGTGTTTTCTCTTTTTTTTTGTATTCTTTAATTTAAATATTTCACTAAGATTATTCATATTTATATACTTCCCTTAGGTGTTATTTACTTAAAAGTAAAACGACGTTACAACCCATAGAATATATATAGACAATGAATCTGCAGTAGTATCTTATACTATACTATCTCTAAGTACCTATCCTGAATCTATTAAAATATGACATGTTATGTTATATAGATCAAATATATTAATAAAAATAACTACCACTGCACCATAGAGTTCACACTATAGTTATCTAAAGTAATTTACCCTTTAATAAAATTAAAAAAAAATCCATTTCAATGCTAGATATAATCTATTGAATGTATTTTTTTTTCAAAATTTAAATTTGGAAGGTTTTATAACCTATCTTAGGTTAAATCAAGCTACAATAGAATAGTGACGTCATCATTTGAATATAATTGTCGATTGTTTTATAACATAGCTAGGTGATAAGTGTCAGACAGAGCAGCCATACTAATGGGCTTCTCCTTAAGCAAAGACATAATGAATAATCCTTTCTGATATTATAAATGTGAAAGTAAGTTTGTTTGTTTATTTGTTACCTTATAGCGCTTTAATGGTTTAACTAATCACTATGAAATTTGGTATACACGTGCTATATGGGATAAAGAAGGATATAGGCTGCTTTTTATCCCGGTCAATAAATATATCTCAGGTCACACGAATGAATTTATGGGTCTTTTTTTTTCATTTAAGAGTTTCCTCTTGTCACTGCAACTAATTCATGCGTCTTCTTCCAGCCAGTTCTATCCCAGACCATATCCTTGACCTCCCTATACGACATGACACCTAGTGTTTCTTTTATCTGTCCCATGTAGTTATTTCTCGATCTTCCTCTTCTTCTTTTGCCCTCTATTTTTCCTTCTACTATGCTCTTAAAAAAATCATGTCGTATAAGGTGGTAAACTAAACTAGTAAATAATAAACAAAAGATTAAACATGTGTTGGTATAAACTAGAACGGCTAGATTAGAGCCAATTTAGAAAAGTTTACTAAAGTGATCCGACCGAGAATCGAGCCTAAAGACCTTATGTAAAGCAACATGCCTTCCATTGAGGCACAGTTTTTGTCAAATATAAATTATTGTAGCCATTTTAAATAAAATTTGTACCCTAAATTTTCTCTATCGAGATTCGAATCCTATATCTCAATACGCAATCACCTACTACAAACCACCTACCACTTCACGACTAGGGTCGTCCTTACAGAACAACAATATTATGAAGTCAATAGATTTCTAATATACAGTAACTGTATTTTTATTAAATATCCATGTACCTATGTAAATGAAACGTGCGTGACACAATAAAAAGCTATTGTTATGCGTGCGGCGTTGCGCGCGCGTCCCTGCAACTCGTTCTATTAGAGAGCTGTCTGTTTTCCTGTTCCCACATTTAATGGATGTAAGAAAGTAGGTGAAATCGTCTACTCTGATATATGATACAGATTTACTGCACCATTTAATTCATAGACAAATTGAACTCTCTAAAGGATTTGACATCGTATTTTCTAGATCGATGGTAATGAGTAGATCTGCGCATGCGTTTATTTAGATCTGTATATTACACACGATTTCATAGACAACAAATAATGTACATGTATACATAACTATATAGTTTGTTAAGTTTAATACAGGATATTTATATATGAATAATTATATATTATTATTATTATAAATAAATATTGTAAATTAGGTTCGTGAATGTCTATGTATTATTTAATTATCTATTAATTATTTAAAATTTAAAGGTATTGCTGTTTAGAACAATAACTGTTGCTTTTTTTTTTTATACAACTTAGAATAGCAAACAAGCTGGCGGCCCACTTGATGGAAAGTGGTAACCATCGCCTATAGACATGAGCCGTACCATGAACATAACAGAGTATACTGTTTCGCCCATGATACCCCCCCCCCCCATGCGTTGTTATTCCTGAGGACTCATATGTTATTCCTCTGTACCCAGTAAATTCACGCCATATCCCACCCTTCAAACCGAAACACGTCTATGCAAACACAACTGCTTCACGTTTGAAACACGAATGGGACAGAGTAAGCAATCGACTTTTGTACAAAGTCTCCCTCTGGTAAAAATCTTCTAATAAGTATCTCTATGTGTGTAATATTTTAGGACACACTGTATGTACCTACATACAAGGAGTCATCGTCATCCTCTTATCAGCCATTAACAGTCCACTGCTGAATATAGGTCTCGCCTATAAAGGGAGATTTTGCCAGTACTTGTCACGCTTGGTACACGGGTTGGCAACCACAGTTAACCTTTGGTGATGTTTTAAGAGGGACGCTGCTGCCCATACCTCGACTATTAAGTTCCCTTAGTCATCTCTTATGACACCGACAAGAAAGAAAAGAATGGTCCATTCTGTACCAGGACTACACAACACGATACATACAAAATGTACCTGATGAATAATTTAAAATCAAACGATCATCCTGGTGAATGTGAACATTTTTCCCCGAAGAGTTTACTTAGACAAAATATGATATATTATATATTATACTTTAGAAAATTTGATACGAAATCGTGTATATGACTATACAATTGTATGAAAGATTCAATAACATTTTTCATACAATCTAATGTTCTTTAACAAAAATAGCCCAGATAATGAATATTATTTCTGACAGGGTTTTATGAAGCTTCGCTTCACATTCTGGGATGGGTACTAGCCAATTCAAAGGTGAGTGTGAATAATATTCCTATGATTCTAAACGAACTGTAATAATTTACAATATTACAAAATTAAAGCCTTAGGTATATATTTTAAAGATAGGCACCTGTAGTTAGTCAACAAGTACTTGTTACCAAATAGGCGCGTGATAAACAATTATTAAAAAACTATGGTTTAGTGTAAAAAGTAATATAATTATAAGGTAATTAATTATCTACATGGAATAAATTACTGAACGTGCTTTTAACCGCTTAAATAAACCTACGAGTAAGTAAATAACAATTATCAGAAAATGTTACAAAAAATTAACATACACATATGAATATTAAAGAAATGGCATACTAAACAAAATTAAAAATCATCGAAATTTAAATTTAGAATTACAATTTATGGAATACACATGTATCAAACGAGTAAGTATAAATTTAGGAATAATAATAAATTCTATTTCAAAAATCAAAACTAACCAGCAATGAGGATCGATTCACGAATTCAAACAAAACGTCAAACAAGCGTTAGTCACTAATTAATAAGGCAACGGAACTCACTGGCAAGGACGATCGACGTTCGCGATTTGAACACAAGTGCTGGTGACCGGTTACCGGCTCGCGAATCCGTGACTGCTCACTGACGAGGGTGAAAAGAGACAGAGCTATCACCACTTTCACTCGCTATCCACTTGGCCTGGCAGGATCCGACGGAGTGCAGCCTAGATGCCCGCACAAACATATAAGTAGCCTGCAACCACTGCAAATTCCATATTTATGGTAATGATTTACAGTTGAACCAGATAATAGTATAATTAGTGCTATTACAGCCTTATGTGGGATCGATTAGGTTTTGTCACATGATGATAGTATTTATGGTACTTACCTCATAATAGTTCTAATTTGTTGCGCAACAATAAATAAATGCTGTCTTCATTTTATCTGGGCAACATGAAAACAACATTGAAATAAGTTTTAAAAATAAAAATAACGTAACATCAAAACTCATAGTGCACTGTACTAAAAACCATATATATTTATTGACTGAAATATACAATGCATTATACTACAGACCTTATATTTTACCCATATATAACTATTGACTTCATTTGACGAAAACAAAAATTTAAATGGCATAGCATCATTTCAGAATGATAAGCATAAATTGAAGCATACTGTAATAATTTTATCTCAAATATATATACGAAATAAAAAAATAATTACACTCTTACTAGAATTTCATGCATACGAGCCATCACATTGGCTTTTTTCTTGTGAGCATGGACCTGACATAACCTAGTTTACTCAATCCACACCTGATGTTATTGGTATTCACCTATATCCAAATATAACCAATTGTAGTTTGGATAATAATATAAAAATAAAATAGTTTATCTGCGCTTTCAGGTTACAACTCCAATGATACTTATCCTTGTGGTCCTTCGAGCCGGATATGAACCTATAACACATAAATCTCTTAGTTTCCTCTTACCATTTTCTAGAAATGGAAAGAGGTGATGACACATTATATACTTACTCCATCACCATACGCATGACATAATGTTGTCAATTTTTTATACATAATAAACGTGGAAAATACTCAGTCCAACACAAACAAACATACTCGTATATTAGTGTATGGATTTTGCGGGAATTTAAGCGAGCTGCAACCTTTAAAATGTGAGGAAATGTTTTAAACCACTACAACACTAAAGGCGTCTAATTAAAACTGGTAGTTAATTTTGCAATTTTATTATCACTTATACTACTACTAGATAGTGGATAATAATTCTGTCCGTGGAAATGCTAGTTTACTGCCTTACAAATATAAAAAAAAAATATGCGCTCTCTTTATGGTTGATTCTTCAGTTTTTCTTCATTCCATACCACTGAAATAAAGATATTAGACAAATACAAATTTACGAGTAGATCTATTCTCCAAATCTACTCTTCTCATTCGAGTTACAAGTATAAGAGATATTTTTCAATAGCATAATTGTCACTTTAGAAAATTGCGGAAATAAGTGGTATAGGCGTTTTGTTAATTCGGCATTCAATAACCATAGTAAGTTTTTTTTTTCATTTAAAACATATTTAATTTTAAGACTGAAGACTAACTAGAAGCATTAAATATAAATTTTGACAGATTGTGTTTTTTTATGCAAATTAGAATGGCAAACAAGCTGACGACCCACCTGATGGAAAGCGGTAACCGTAGCCCATAGACATGTGCAGTACCATGAACATAACAGAGTATACTGTTTTACCCATGATACCTCCCATGTGTTGCTTTTCCTGAGGACTCAGGTATTATTCCTCTGTACCTTGTAAATTCACTAGCATATCCCACCCTTCAAACCAAAACACAGCCATGAAAACACAACTGCTTCGCGGTAAAAACACAAATAGGACAGAGGTGCCCAAGCAAACGACTTTTATACAAAGTCTCCCTCTGGTATGTCAATCAAACACATGCCTAATAATAAAATAATATGAAATAAAAGATACCTATATCTATTTGTAACTAGCTGTATCCTGCGGCTTCACTCGCATGAATCAGCACATAAAATACTAAGTCATAATATCTTATATGCTAAGTTAGAATATAACTTATCCGTGTACCAAATTTCATTCAAATCCGTTTAAGTATTACTTGAATTTTACGTAACGTGACTTGTTTAATGGGCTGAACACGACAGGGTTTGCTTATGTATTTGTCCTATATTAATTTTATCGCTATTCAAGTAGCTATTTTGAAAACATCTTTTATTATTAAATAAATAAATTATATGATAAATCGTTGGATCCACCTTAAGTGTAATAGAATACATAACGATAGTATGAGATAAAAATGGTGACCGAAATTTAATAATTTCATTAATCTGTTGAGACTGCAAATTTCAACAAAAACGTAAACATATAATTAAGTACTTATACCAAATTTTTGTTGAAACAATGTCGTGACAAATTATAATTTATAACAACATCGACATGTATAAAACTTGATATAAATACTCAACAGATTTTACTAATATTACGTATATAAATATGAAAATTTATAAGATGTTTTATTGTTTAGATGTCTGTATATTTGTTACTTAATTACGCTTAAACAGATAAACAAATTTAAACGAAATTCGATACACGAGTAGATTATACCCTTACTTGCCCACAAAAGATACTTTATCTGTTATCACGCGCGCAAAGTTGCAGGAAATAACTAAAACTTTATAAATATTGTATTATAAAGTTTTAGTTATTGTATGTAAAATAATATACATTTATTAGAAATGCTATATTAGATATACTCGAATATCCACAAAGAATATTGTCTCCTTTTCTTGGCAATTAGTAAAAATACTTTCAATTACGTAATTTAAAATCTATACGCATTCTTTCTATAACAAATACTGCTTAGTAAACTATACGCAATTATATATTTAAATTAATTCTGCCCCATCAGGTCATGGAATATTATGGACCGGTTCGAGGCCGAATGAAATGGAAGGTCTGATAAATAAACCGTTAACATCGATATTAAGAAAGTAAAAATCTTTACACTTTTATTTTCACTAGTCTGATATCGGCAACCCTTATATGTCTACCGGTTACACCCATAAATGCCCACTTTTTAAACGACTTCAATAAAGAAGAGAGTAAATTAATACTTTTTGTCTATGTTAAGTTTTCATGAAGAACGTAATTTGAATAGATTCCTTTTCATCTTCAAAATGTATAAGAGTGGGATGATACATCAATGCAAAAGAAAAAAAAACTCCAGAAAATCCTACCATAAATAATGCCATACCATCTTCTAGTCTATACAACGTGTACTCCATCAAGAAAGTCCTTGGTTTCCTTCCAAATTTTTTTCAATAGTTCTTAAACAATATCGTCAGTTTGGGTTACTCTCCCTTCCTATTCTTGGTCTTACCCGTCATTTTGTTACCAAGCAATTATGCTCACATGGTTGTGTTTCGGTTGAAAGAGCGAGATCTTATTCCTTGAATTTTACTCTTATCGGAAGTTGGACAGGATAAAGGCGATTTTAAGTTTTAAAGCTATCGCTCTGAGGAACGAAGTGGTGCTACAATTAATCTACTCCCGCAAATTATTTAGCCAGGAACGACGCCTCCTTCGGTCACTTCTTTTACCAGCGATCTTGCTTTGGATGATTAAGGGAACGGTGAGATATAGATGAGATATGGATACAGAGTAATACCGTAGTCCTCAGCAATAGCGTGTAAGAGCTATCGTGAGTGTCATAGTGCATTCATTGATCTCTATTCCATGGTTCTATTCATGTTGACAGGTGTCGGTTACCACTCTCTATCAGATAAATTGACATCTTGTTTGCCTTTTCAACATACATAAAATATTCTCACCGTCATCCCTCACTAAAAAAGCAGACAGGATACACACAGGATTGCTGTGTGATCCCGGCATAAAATAGGTCACCCCCTTCCTTTCCCGTATGTGTTATAAGATTCAACAAAGGGAGGGCGAGGGGTGGGCAGCAGCATCCCTCTTAAAACATCTCTAAAAGTCTAACTGCGGCTACCAACCCACCAGCCGAGCGTGGCAACTACTGGCATTACCAAATCATATTTATTGATAAAAAATAAACCACGCGTGTCACACAAACCTATACCTGTGATTAATGAACTGTACTGCCACGCCCACGTTTCAAAGATTACTTCAGTCGACTGTCATTGTTCAGATAACCTGTGGAGGTTGTCGATATCGAAATTCTAGTAACATGGTCAAATATCTCGCATACAACCCATTTTATCAATACTGATTCTGTGTCACTGTTACATTTTACTACAATTTATTGAGACAAAATCATAAATAAGATTAAACGTGATTACTAATGTTTCAGTTGCACCTCGAATTAATTTTTTTAATAAAAAAAAATATTTACAAACGCGCAAATCATTTTTTTATACGAATTAATATAGAAATACATAATATCCTTTTAAGATTATGTTCTACCTGTGAAATTTACAAAACATTTTCAGCCACCAATAGTAAGAGGGCGCAATAAGTTGTTTTGAGAATATCAAAATTAGAAGCGCCGTACTGCATTAGCATGTGTGTATACTGCGAGAGTCTAGCTCAGAGTTGGTCAATATTATCATGGTGCATTTTTATTCACAACTTTCACAAGTAAACTCCTATACAAAATATGTTTATTTAAAACTTTAAAACTATATCATTATTTATAATCTAAAGGACGTTTAGCCAGTATCCAAACTTGGGTATATTTATTTGTAAACTTGTTAAGTTTCGCAGATAATTAAAAAATGTCCAATAAATAAATGTTATCATATTTATATATACTGGGATTGCTAAAGTAGCGAATTGAAAAACTATTAAGCTCCCTTAGTTGGTAAATATAAATAAATAAATAAATTTATTTTATTACAATCGAACTCACGTATTTTAGGATTGGTCCAACTTGTCACAGATGAGAGAGAATATCTCTCATTGAAGCTTACTTAGATCTCATTTCTCTCACAAAAGTCTAACTGTATGAGTAAAATTATGGGAATGTAATCTGTTATGTTTTTATTGGCATAGTCTAAATTGTATAAAACCGGTACAAAAAATAAAATAAAATTAATCACACATCAGAGAGTCAAATAATATTAAATTTAAACTTTATTGGTTTGTATAAAAGTTTAATATAAAAACATTATCTTAATTTATGTTTTATTAGAGATGAGAGTTAATGCAATCATTTAGGTAAACTATGATAATTTACCTTAATTATCTTAACGTTTCGACCAAGTTACACCGATCGTGGGCACTAATACACAATATTTACTAGATAATTCAAGGATATTAATCATAATTTACCTAAATGATTACGTTAATTCCCGTCTCTTATAAAACTCAATATTAACTAATTAATATTTTAATCGTTAATATTATCTCAATTTATTGATCTTAACCATCTTTTGAATGATATTGGTCATACTAAAATTATTATAATATAATTTTGCTTATTTTAATTTTTTTTTTTTTTAGTACGTTTGTTCCGTTTGGAACAGGCTAAGGTCGGAGACCATGCTGCCTAGTCTTCAAAGAGATAAATTGTCTGGAATTTTATTTTTCTAATGTCGCTTCAATTATTGTCATAATCTTCAATATTTCATTTGTCAAATCCGGTAAGTACATTTTCATAAATATCTTTTCTTGAGTTTTCTTAAACCAGTGGATTTATCAAATTAAAAATAAATAATTATAAAAAATCATTGTCTTGCAATTCAATAAAAGTATTCTTATAGCTCCTTGAATGTTGTAGTAATATAAGTGAAAATAGCTTTGAAACAAGAAGGAAATCTTAAGAGAAGCGGGATTGAGTGCGGGATATTTTCGGGTTTTTTGAAGATAATCCTAAGTTCGTCAAACATAATGTGTCTTTGAATGACAAATTCAGAGCAATCAAAAAAAAGGTGATGTAGAGATTGGGCTGTATTTGAGTTACACCATGTGCATGATGGGGAAGCGATCATGCCCATTCGGTGCAGGTGTTCGTTGAAATGTCCGTGGCCGATTCGTAATCTACAAATATTGGTGTAAAATTTTCTGTTTGTGTCCTTTCCTTTGCAGAACCACGGTTTTCCAATACGCCAATTAATTTTGCGGTACCATTTGCCTTTAGTCTGTAACATTTGAGTCCAATGCTCCTCCCATTTAGTTGTAACGATTTTATGTATTCCAATACTACAATCTGAATAACAAAGGGGTAAATCTTGAACACGAGCAGCACTTGAATTAATAATTTTAGCCAAAGTGTCTACTTGTTCATTCCCAAACACTCCAATATGTGAAGGGGTCCAGATGAAGATAATATCTTTTCCATATATAGTACAGAGATGATAATATTTATTACGAATTTCTTGAATTAAGTAGTTTGATGATGAAATGAATGTGTTATTTTTTAATGCCATAAGAACACTCATACTATCTGTAATTATAATCCATTTCGAATATAATACCTGTTTTTCTATGTATTCTAATGCTAAAAATATAGCTTTTGCTTCTGCTGTGTAAATACTAGCCAAAGTTGAAATTTTATAACCGTGACCAAATCTATTTGACAAATCGTAAAAAGCCACTGAAGTGCTAAGTGCATTTTTGGAACCATCTGTATATATCTGCCTGTAGTCAATAAATTCTGATAAAGTCTCATACATATCGTGCTTTTCTTTTATGTCTTTACGTATAACAATTTTGATCTTACAGAACTTACTCTCATAAAGGCCATTATAACAAGGAAGTATCTTACTACTATAGATGTTATATTCATCTCGTAAATTCAAATCATTGACAATAGTTTTATTCAAAAACATAGAAATGGGGCAATTTAATAATTTGAGTATGAGTGGGTTATTGGAAACTGAAAAAACTTTGAAGAGAAATTTGAGTTTTAGGTATTCGAAACGAAGAAGGATAGGAGGCAAATTACATTCTACTTGCATTGAGATAATTGGAGAAGTATACATAGCACCTAAAATAAGTCTTAAATTCATATTTTGAATTTTTTCGAGTTTTTCTACTAATTTATGTTCTGAGGCATAACAAAAGAAAGCGTAATCAAAATTACTTCTAACAAGAGATTTGTAAAGTAAAAGGATAATTTTAGGATCAGCTCCCCAGTTACGACCAATTACAGATCTTATTATATTAGTGGCTCTTAAAGCACGATCTACTAAGCAATCAACGTATAGATCCCATTTTAAATTTTGATGAAAAATTACCCCCAGAAATTTAACGCTACAGTCTGTTGGAAGAGTTTGATTATTATATATAATATTCATTAATGGAACATATTTATGAACTTGATGAAAAACAACTACTTTACTTTTGGTTAAACTAATATCGAGGGAAAGAAGAGAAAAATATTTCTCAAGTCTTTTTAATGACTCATTTAACACTAATTGCATATCAATAATATTCTTTCCTTTTATATAAATTAATAAATCATCGGCAAATTGCAAGTTGTTCACACTGTTTCCTAAAATTGAATTAAGTTTATAGATATATAAAATATATAGTAGCGGGCTTAGAATACCACCTTGACATACTCCTTTAGAGCTTAACCTAGGTCCTATTAATTTACTATTTACTTTAACATACACTTCTCTATTACTAAGAAAATTATAAATCCATTCGATAAGTTTCATTGGAAGAAATGAGGATAAAATCGAAGATAGAACTGTTAAATTTACATTGTTAAAAGCTCCTACGACATCTAAAAAAACAGATAGAACATATTCATCGTTATTCAAAGCAGTACTAAGGTCGACATAGAAGTTCGCTAAACTTTCGCGCGCTGAATATCCACGGCGAAAACCAAATTGATTCGATGGTAATATACTATTACTTTCAATAAAGAACTCTAAACGCTGTTTAATTAATTGTTCGAATAATTTGCCTGCACAGGACGTCAATGTTATAGGTCTATAGGAGTCGAAATTTGTAGGATCTTTACCGGGTTTAATTACTGGAATCAAACAATCCATTTTCCATTCTGGTGGGATAATACAGTCCTTCCATAAATCGTTAAAAATTTGTAAGAGTTTAGTAAGGTTTATTTTATTCAGCAATCGAAACATATTGTATGTTAAGCGATCAAGGCCACTAGCTGTATCTTTTCTAGATTTTACTGCACTGGATATTTCATCAATTGAGAATGGGTCAGTGAGAAATTTTGGGCATGAATTAACAGAATTAAACTGTTTGTCATCAAAAGGTGAGTGTACAAAATCAGGAGTATATTTGCGTAAAAAATCATTGACCCATGATATATCTTTAAAATGATTTTGACGATGTTTTGAATTTAGTTTTCTCATATTTTGCCAAACAGTGGAAATTGGTGTTAATCTATTAAATTTGGAACAAAATTCCTGCCACCCCTGTTGTCTTACTTGCTTAATTACTAACTTTTTAACAGCTTGAACTCTTTTAAAATTTATGTAATTATCGAGAGTTGGATTTTGTTTAAACCTAAGGTAAGCCGCTTTACTATCATTGACAGCTGTCGCACACCTGTTATTCCACCAAGGTACTGCAATATGTTTGTGCCTCTTTGAAGTATTTGCACCGCTATTTGATAAGTTCCTACGTGGAACGGAACGTTCCACAGCTGTCAAAATAATTTTACAGAATCTATTGTAATTGTTTAAGGGTTCATTGACATCATACTCGAAATCCAAAAGTAATTGATTAACAGTTTCAGAATAAAGATCCCAATTAACGAGACGTAGGTTTATACGATTTAACAAAAGTTTATTAACTTCATCTATAGGAGCATGTTGTTCACCTGACGGAGTTGATGAAGAGTTCTTTGTGTTTATTTTAGTAAAAGTCGGCAGGTGATAACTTCCTAACGGATCATCATGAACCGACCACTCGCATTTTAATGATATGGATGGGGATACCATAGTTAAATCAAGGCCATTGGGTCTCCAAATATGAGAGCCAACAGTAGTAACTTGCTTATCATTTAATAGTACCAAATTACATTCATCTAAACAATCAAGAATGTCTTTACCTCTTGTATTAGTGGAGGTACAACCCCACATAGTATGATGTGCATTTAAATCTCCAGATATGATAGTGGGTTTAGGAAGAGACTCCAAAAAGAACTTAAATTTGGCTTTAGTAAAACTAGGTGTACTATTGGTAGGACAGTAAATACTGGCAACTGAATACCAAGAATTATTAACTTCAATACTAATAGCTATAGTTTGCAAAGAATTGTCGAAAAAAGAGTGAAGTTTTTTATATCTAATACTATTATTTATAATAATCGCTACTCCATTGTGGTTATTACCACAATCATTTCGTTCTATACAATAATCTTTAATTTTTAATTTGTAATGTGGTTTTAGCCAAGTTTCTGAGATGAGAGCAATGTGAATATGATGTTCATTTAAAAATTGTGTAAAAATATGTCGATTGCTCAGTAGGCTCTGAGCGTTCCACTGTATGATAGTTAATTGGTCTCGATTGAATTTTGTGAAATAGGTCTATTACCAAAAGTATCATATAACACATTCAAAACACTTTTAGTGTTAATAGATGTGTTCTTTGTGTTATGTAGTGAAATAAGTTTGATTATGCTTTCTATTAAAAGTGATAAACTCTTGTTATCAGAATTTAGAATTGAAATTAGGTCTACATTTTTTTTAGGTTTGTTACCCAGTTTAGGAAATATTTCAGTGCTAAGTATATCTCCAAAAGAAGCAGGTCTGAATTTAGATCTATTTTCAGCAATTTTCTTTTGTTTAACAGGGCATTGCGGTGATACACTTGTGTGATTTCCATTGCAGTGTACACAAATAGCGTTTTCCATTCCAGTTGTACAAGTTTTATAATTATGCTCACCTTTGCAGATGCTGCAACGCTCAGAATTCTTACAGAATTTAGCTAAATGTCCATACCTCAAGCACCGGTAGCATTGTTTAACTGGTGGTATATATGGAGTGACATTGTGGCGCCAACCTCCAATATCCAGATATTCAGGTAATACAGATGCAGCAAAAGTAATTGTCACGGTTAGAGTTGGCTGTAACACATATCCATGAGTCAAGGTATTTTTTCTTAAAATTCTTTTAATAGCAATAATTTTCTTAGAACTCGATATCATAGTATATATTTTTTTATTAGATATATTTGTAGGTACATTTCTAATAACGCCTGTAACTTCTGTTGAAGAAGCAGGAATACTGGCCTTAAAATGGTAGTCATTTAAAAAAGTTTTATTATTTAAAAAAGCATTGGCTAAGTCTGGCTTTTGAAAGTATACTCCGATTTTGAATTTATTTATAGATCTAAGATAAGTTACCCCTTTATTAAATCGTTTTAAACAGGAGGAGAGTGAGAGCAAGTCTCTGGATCCAATGGTTTTCTGACTATCTGAGGATTCTACAAAGACAACAAATTCTGTCCCAGGGGATTCCTCGGGATATCTTCTAATATAATCTGTGACATAGTAAGGTTTATACTTATCGGCCTTATCAATTTCAGATTCTGAGTCAGTAGAAGTATCTTCCGAATATATATCCTTGTCATTACAAGGTTCATGGTCTACATCACCTGAATCGTCATCTTTTTTTTCCTTTTTCTACAACTGCGCTTCCCCATGAATGCTAATTATATTACTGTCGCTGAATTTAGTGAAAATATAATATTTTATTAAATAATAAGAATTGATAGAGATAGTTTTAATAAATTAATAAAAAAAATTTAAAAAACCCGCTTGTTCTTATTCGAGTTTCCCGCCTTTTTTTCGCTTATTTTAATATAATTTTACTTTTACTTTTTAAAACTGTGTTCAAGATGGATAAGGAAACATTTCATTTGCCAATTTCTAACTCGAACGTAATTCGTGTCAGTTACTACAGAGTAGTAATACTTAAAGGAGTTACTATGGTAATTCATTAAGTTAACAATAAATATATAAAAGAGAAGGCTGCACGTTATCAATATACGGGTGGCACCGTCACCTTGGCACAGTTCCGATGAATCTTCCACAGGCGCGATGGTGGTTTACAGCATTAAAAAAAAAACAAAAACATAACCAAGGGCAAACGATGTTTGTCTAGACAAGACAAAACACACACCGTTGGAATTTCCCTTCTTATCTGACCCCGTAATTCGAACCTTAATGTCGGGAAGTTTCCCTAGATAAGCTTGACAAATAGGAAGGCGTAGTCTTTTAATTTGCCCTTAAAATTTATAAGTACATATTTGTTTTTCATAATCCGCTTTTCGTCATTGTAAGAATATGCATTACGTAGGAAACATAATACGTACGTTATATATCAGATGAAGGTCAGGAGAAAACAATGTTTTCTGCATGCCGTGCATACATTTTGATAAAAAAAAAAAACAAATAATTCTCTATGTCTGTCATTAAAAAAAAATATTGTTATTAGCAATTCAGTTTAAAATGTCTCTAATATATATAAAAAATTACATAATTGGAATGTTCAGTTCAGTAAAAAAAAAGCAGTGAATTTTTATTATTATTTCTCGTTGATACTATTGTCTAACTTTGACTCAATTAACCAATTGACCATTGTCTATTTCTTCATCCACTTGTAACACTTGTGTATCGCGACCTTGTCATAAACTCATGACTTCTTGCTCTTTCAAATAGCTATTATAAATGGTTAACTGAACTAAATTCTTGCCTTCTCTTCTATATGGAGTCTCTGTCCCCATAAGAAGACAATATTAGTCTAATAAAACCAAACGCCGCTACCCCTTCTCTCTTCTTACCACGTGGATTTGAATATGCTGAGCGAAATAAACAAGTCGACTGTGCGTTCACCACAACGGTTACAGTTGAAAATGTCAGCCATGCCATGCCATGTTACAATGATGATCTTATTAATTTTTATACTATTGCGGATCCTCTAGGGCGTGGCTCCTCTCGAACTTATATTTCCACGTAATGATCTTGTTTATTGATGTGTTGCGCGTACAGTAATTTAAAAAACTTATTACCAACAGACGTTATAAAATAAGAAAGTAGAATGGCGCCGTCCGCTTTAAAGTTACTGCGGCAGCCACTATTCCGGTAGGTCAGTGCGACTGCATTATGTTTGTTCCGAAACATCGAAAAATTGCAAAATGTTAAACGCGCCATTTTAATCCTGAGATTATGTAAACTGTTGGGCAACAATACCATGTATACGCGAATTAATACTGTTCCACGCGGACCATCCGCCGTTAAAAGAAATTAAACTTCCACATTGCATAAGAAATTGAGCCGCCTAATTCTTTTGAGACGACTTGGCTAGTTCTAATTTTTTGGGATATTAATCCCAGAGAACGGATATAAAGAGTCCGAGAGAGTATTAAAATAAGCAGTTTAACAGGTGTTATATATTATATATATGTGCCATTCATTTCGTATAACCCATTGATTAAAATGTGGGTGTATTAAAACTCTTCGTTATTATTTTTATCGTGAAATAAAATTGTGTATTAATTTGCGATTATTTAACTATAACTTGAACAAACTTGAAACTTCAATGAACTGCTACTTGTATTTATAAACTAAATAAAATTAAGTATCTTACTTCGCTAATTAAATTCATTTTTCATAAATGACTATTGAAATAAGTCGATTCGTTCAGGAGAAATGAAGTATATAATTATTACTCTAATTGCCAGTTTTTAATGAAAATGCATCACTTGACCTGAATTGTCTGATTGTCAAATTGCAAGATTATTAAAAAAATATTTGTTAAATTATATTGTATCAAGCAGCATTACTTGCCAATTCTTATATGAAACCATCAATTAAATTGTAAAACTGCTCAAATACAGACTTTATAATGTCTTATTGCAAATACCAGGCACTGAACAACCTGTTACATTTTTGTACAATTAATATGGTGACTCACGAACTGAAATATATATAGGCTTACTCTGTTGGCTATGTGAGAAAGCTCGCTGCGGCATAGAATAAAAAACGAGGTATATCCTCATTTCGAAGTTTAAGAGAAACCAAAGTAACCAATATGCTATGACAGAACAGCAAGCTAATGATAATGGACCATAGAATAGAAAAAGAACCAGAAGAATGGTTCTTGAGTGGCGATCCCGTAAAGTCAAAAATTGGTGTTGGTGACTCCACGATGGATACATACATATGTTCAAAAGTAAACAGGACTACAGCTGCTGCTGCTACTACTATTCATGTGACAGTATCGTCCTCTGTAAAGTCGTCGCCATGAGAATAATTTTGTACAAGAAATTCGTATGTTTAGGGGAAGATTCGACAATGGAATCTCTGGATTGTAGTAAAGTCATCGATATGGCATTTAAACCTTCAAGAAAAGAGCATATTCCTTCCTAAAAAGCCAGCAACACACCTACAATTTCTCTGACGTTGCGGGTGCTTATGGGCACTTGCCATCAGATGAGTTGCAATCTCGTTTGCCTTCTATGTCATGAAAGAAGCTTCAACCAATTAAGCCATCGCTACTGTATAATGTACAGTAACAAGTCAATGTATGTCATGATCGTGATGAAATGGATTACTACTATCACATATATAGAGACTGTATCCACTTTGCACCTCCAGACATTGGAACCTTAACTTCCCGTGTTAGTACAACAACAAAACCGTTCACGCCCAGCATTTAACATAAATATGAATTGTTATATGTAATCTATATCGTTTACCAATAACATCATATTAAACATTATATGTAGATCTCTAAATCAAACTGAAAACATCGAAATATCAAGCGGATTCTCATACCACTACTAAAAAAGAATGACACACTTTATCTACAATGTATTCATCAATAACTATCACACCTCTCTTTAAATACTTATTTAAATCCGGTAGTCGAATTGCAAATATTTTTGTTCACATTCCATGTTTGGGCGTGTTTCTGTTACATGTATGCTAATCTTTGGAGCTAATGATACCTCTGGTCGTCGCAGCACGTCCCAAGAGAAATGTGATTATCTATAATTTCAAATGCATATGCATTGTAATTTTGTAATCTGATGAATGTAACTCAGTTAATTGCATTTCTTGTCTTACAAAAAGTGTAAGTTATTTTGTCCTTAGGCGAATATTGGCCCATTTAATAAATTGTTGCCTCTTCAGAGAGTCAAAACCCGAATTAGTCATGCCGATATATCTTTTATTTTATTTTAATCATATAGCATTAATTAGAACAACCCCTGAAATAGAGGACTCATTCTTCAAGTGTTTTCCGTTATTTTTATTTCATTTAACTCTTTATTAGATATTTCTTTTTCCTTATGCTGCACCAAACTCAGTTCTTTTAAAACGTAATTCTGAACTTTTAGTCATCTCCAAATCAAATCAACCTCAGTTTTCTCTCTCGTCTTACGGGTGATTGGTCTAGGTTCAGGTTTCCATGTAAATATTCTTTCCTTACTTTCCCAATGTCATTACTCCCACATCCTCTAAGCATAAACATATTTCATTCACTACTTCTGCTATGGGATAATCAATATACCTATTGCCTTACTGAATAACAGTTACACTATTAACAAAACTCCGTACTAGTAACTTGTATAGTATAACGGTTAGAGATTGATGACTAGGGAAGGGCCTCTACTAATAGTGGTCAGTTCTCAGCGTCAAATGTTGATAGTCGCACGCATAATATATGTAGCGTTAATAAAAAAATAGTAATACCAAAAGAACTCCGTAACAAACAATACCCCATACGCAATAGTAGCAAAACTATGTAACAATAAAACTCGATAACCCAAGGTCATTAACTAGTCCCCACGTCCTCGCCAATCCCCAAAAGCAGCTAAGCAGTGGGGTGACGCGCGGCCGCTCCTACCACCGTCACTCGCTCCGTGGTCGCGTTGCCGTGAACTTGCCCTGCTCTGTCGTCACCCTGGCCCCGAGACGTTATCGGAGGCGCCGCCGGCGGCCTATAATAGCTGGGCCGGCGTCTCCCCCTGCCTCCAGAGTAGCCTGTGCCTTCGCCAGACATGTTTCGTGCTTTGTGCATCCTCAGTATCGTAGCTGCCGTCCACGCTTGCAAACCCTGCAGTGAGTGCATCCTGAATATCCTTTACTGATCTTAACACCAGATGAAGATCTTAGTTGTGTGCGTGTAGTGTTCGTTGTTTAATATAATTTTATTATTTGTAAGGAATCCTAATATATGTGGTAAGTAGTCTAATAACTTTCCTCAAGTTCGCGTGAAAATATGTAAGTGCAAACTAGGTAGGTGATTGCCAATTCGTCGCATAACATTTGACCTAATTGTGTAGTACCTGCGTTAAAAAAAATTACAAGTGTTGTAAATATAGATAAATATATCTTAAACCTATATTTAACTTTATTCAACTTAATTTCTGATCAGTTAAACAAACCATTTCGGTTATGTCATAAACTGTTAATAAATTTGAAGTGCTTTTAGAGAGCTAGGACGTATAACGTTTGCAAGTCAGTTGCAATAAGATAGATTCTCACAAGTGTGTTAAGTGCCCTCGCTTGAACGAAAACATCTTCTAAATGTTGATTTTAATATGTATACTGTACCGATTAGTCACATCCGCATATCTTTGACACAATTGTAAAGATTGTGCATCTATACTTTTTCTGTCCTAGCTCGACAGAGAATCGAACCTAGGACTTCACATACGCAAAGAAATGTACCTGCTAAGTGTCCTTTATTACTCATAAAATCGTTTTTGACTGGCATACTGATATTATATTACCAGGCGTATCATAATCCGTTTCATAATGTTAGATTTTCACGTAGTTTTATAGGAATTCAAATGAAATTAATTCATAACTTAGATGAAGTATAGATATAATAATTAATTAAAAAGAGAACTATGTAAATCTTTATTAACATTTTAAATTTGTTTTTTGAAAGTAGTTAAAAAAATCACAGATATATTAAAAAAAAGTTACTATGAATTATGTAGTTTACAATACCTAGTTTCACTTAGACAAAGGACAACCTACATAGAGCCATCGTTATCGTCTACAGATCGCCGGTTACTCCAGTTCTTTGACGATAAATTACGATAATGCGTAATTTATTATCACTAAAAATGTATCTATGTCAAAAAAAGTTTAGAGAATTAACAAAAACGATTTATGTAGTATTTTTAAAAGAGATCTTAGTGTAGACAGATATTTGCCTATAATAAATAATTTTTAAAACTGAATAGAATACAAACATGCATAAATTCTGAAAAGAAGACATAATTTAAACTTATACCTAAGAACAAGGAAATTTTTGGCTAATACCGTCGTCTCAATGACATCTATGTTGCAGTTCATACATATGTACAAGAAGACATTGTTTGCCACTTTTCATCAAGCGGGAATTTAGTTTAAAATACACTGTGATGTTTTTCTGGTTGTCTAATTTGAAGTTACCCCGTATTCAGCCCATGATATTTTATCCTATTTCTTATTTTTATATATCTATGCTTTTTAATAATTCCAAAATGATCTTAACATATTTGATATTTAAATTTTTAGAGCCTCTGTAATATTTTTAAATAAAAACCTAAAACAATTGCAAGTCGAGCCTACTATACTATTTTAAATTAGTTATTTGTGTAAATATGACGTCCTTTCTTAAACCGTACATGGTTCAAAGATAAACAGATATACTCGATATTTTGATCATAATAAATAACAGTGCTAAATTTAAGAATCCGTGCCTAAAGGACTGAATAGGTACAGACATTTGCTTTATTAACGAACTAGAATATTTTACAAAACTTTAAGATTATTAGCCCTTGTTTCGCACGGTTTTATGCAAGGATAATGCAGCTTTATATAAATGAAAGAATTTTTAAAAAAATTTACAGGTGCGTTATCCGCAACATTTGCGTATCCTAACGTACGGTGCACTTTCAATGTCGTCTAATCAGCACCAGATTTTATTTTAAAGCCTATATTATAACATAATTAGGGTTCTGAAATTTAATAGGTATACCTCATAAAACTTACAGCTTTCCTAAAAACGTGTACTCGTGTTTCACACTTTCAAATTTCGATTCAAAAATTGTCACGTCAAATACTAATAGTTGCTAAATACCTATTTTTAAATTCATGTTTGTAGTTAAAGCATAGGGCTGCCATAGGGTTTTCAATTCGATTTAATCTAATATAAATGATTAAATAAAATGAAGAATTGAAAATCATTCCGATATTCGATTTTGCAGATCGATCTTTTTGGCAAATCAATTTAAAGATCAATAAAAATTTTGTTTATTCATTAAATATTGTGGCCTTTTTTTAAATAGTGTATAAACACTTTTTAATTTATACCTTTTTTGTGCGTAGTTTTTAGTTTTTTTTTTTTTATAACGTGTTATGTACACGTTATAACAAAAACATAGGTATTTTTTTTTACAACACAGGGGGCAAACGAGCATGCGGCTCACCTGATGATAAGTGACTACCGCCGCCCATGGTCACCCACAACACCTACGGCATTGCAGGTGTGCTGCCGGCCTTTTAAAAAGGAATATGCTCTTTTCTTGAAAGTTATGTTGTATATATATATATAAAAACAGATAAAAAACTAATTTAACACGAAAATATGAATTTAACTGATTGACCTCTATTTCAAGTGGTGTAGAGTGACGATAATTTTAAAGTCTCGCTGCCCATTCTTTTTTGTATTGAAAAATTCATGTAATCATTTGTTTAAATTGCTCAGCATGTGGGGTCGCACGCAGTGGTCGAGTGGTTGGTGGGATGGCCCTCTCCCCTGGCGAGTTTCCCTGGCTTGCGGCCCTCAAACGGGATGGCAAGGTGATCTGCGGGGCCACAGTCGTCGCGAGGGACCACTTGATCACCGCTACGCATTGTATCCATGGGTAAGAATTAAAATACTCCTAATTAACAAATAAATATATTGATAAAATTAATATCAGAGCAGTCATCAGTTGATCAAAATCGGTTCAGACTTGACAAATATATCAATATACACACAAAAACATAATACGAATTGAGAATCACTTCCTTGTGTTTATGTACAGTATATACCTACATAGTATAAAACAAAGTCGCTGTCGCTGTCTGACCGTCCCTATGTATGCTTAGATCTTTAAAACTACGCAACGGACTTTGATGCGGTTTTCTTTAATAGATAGGGTGATTCATGAGGAGGGTTTATATGTATAATACATGCATAATATAATAGGGGAACAATGATAATTTTAGAGGTTTCTAATGTCGTAAATAAACACACTTTTTAGCGTTCCACCCGTGCGAAACCGGGGCGGGTCGCTAGTTGAGAATAAAATTGGAAACTTTATGTAGTTAATATTGGTATCATGGGTAACATAGTACTCTCTATTATGTCTATGATACTGTTCATCTCTATAGGCGACGGTTACTACTTTCCATCAAGTGGGCCGTCAGCTTGTTTGCCATCCTAAGTTGCATAAAATCAGTGTAATAGAATTACGTAGCTTTCCCATATGTAATATATCCGTATACACATATATATATATATATATATATATATATATATATGGGATAAAAAATGCCCAAATTCAGTAATTATGGTCAGTGGCGTTTGAGTTTGCAATTTTGGCCGCCCTGGGCCCCAAGCCATGTAGCAAATACCAGCCACCCCTTTCTCAGCACCCATCATATTGAGTACATAATGAATTTACTTTTTGCCAACTTATATCGAAATCCATTCATAAATTTAGTTAACTGTAATAACTGCTAGTATGTAATATTTTCCGAGGTTTCTTTTAGGTATACGTACTTTGAATTATTTCTTGTTACCATCAGTGAATTTTTTGGCATGATTGGCCGCCCCTAATATTTGGCCGTCTTAGACCCCGGCCTATTAGGGCAAATCTGCCACTGAAGAAAGACAACACAAAAGAAAGAGACAATAGGTTTCTAAGAAGTTTAACGTCTTTATGAAGCGCCACATTTTTTTCTATCGATTATTCCTACCATATTGTACTAACATATTTCCGCATTGTATTTGTAATATACAGGACTATACAGAGTTACAGGATCGAGTGAAGTATTATGTCGGTGAAAATCAAAATTTTCCCTAAAAAAATGGTGTAAAACAAAAATAAATTGTTCAGGTATTACCACAGATAATACGATAGAATACGCCCTAGACCCCGGCCTATTAAGGCAAATCTGCCACTGATTATGGTCCATACGTCTGTACTGTGTATACCAAATAGATAAATTCTGGTACAAATAACTTTTACATTACCATAGGAACAAAAAATGTAAATATCGATTGCTATTTATAATATTTTATTGCCAGTTAAAACCCATAGCTAGTCATACTATGACGATAAACTGGGACTTTATTTGTTATCTAACCTTGGTAACCTCACGTGTTGACTGACATACACGCGTCTATGCAACATGAGGTCAAAGTCATACAATACCTATTGGCAGAAACCAAATCTAAACCCTTTATTCAAAGGGGGAAGGAATTGTTAGTAATGAAAACTACCACTCCCATTGATATCAATATACCCTGATAGGACGACTTCCACGTGGTCCCCCCTGAAAACCATCGTGCTGAATTACAAGTGTATTTATCACGATGGGCTAACTGACCTGCCTTTTTATCCTCACCTATCATTCCTCACTGGTGTCCCGCCAGCGTATAGCGTTAGCGTAGGCGGGGTTACCATTCCATTATCATCCATTAAAAAAAACCTTTGTTCATAAAAATTAAAATCTTCTACATGTCTATTTTAATTATTGCACTCTTTTGTCACTTTCCTTTAAATTGGAAATTTAACTCAAAAGAAAGAGACAATAGGTTTATAAGAAGTTTAACGTCTTTATGAAGCGCCACATTTTTTTCTATCGATTGTTCCTACCATATTGTACTAAATTATTTCCGCATTGTATTTGTAATATACAGGACTATACAGAGTTACAGGACAGAGTGAAGTATTATGTCGGTGAAAATCAAAATTTTCCCTAAAAAAATGGTGTAAAACAAATAAAAATTGTTCAGGTATTACCACAAATAATACGATAGAATACGTATTATCTGTGGTATAGAAAAACTAACGAATAGAAAAGCTTTTTATATATTACCAGAAAAATCAAAACAAATTTAAAAAAAGAACGACCTGTATTAGTACGAACGTCACTACACAGTACAAGGTATGTACCTACAGACCTATTATTATGTAGTGCCGTTGATCAAGTCGATCTTTTCGGCATCCCCCCTAGAAACCATCGTTCTAAATTCTAAGTGTATTCATCACGATGGTCTAATTCATCTGTCTTTTAATTCTCACCTATCATCTCTCACTGGTGCCCTATCAGCGTATACCGTTAGCGCAGGTGGAGTTACCATGCCATTATCGTCCATTAAAAAAAACCTGAAACCGTGTTAGTATGAGAGGCTCAAATATTTTATCATTTTTCGACACGTTTCTTTGGGAAAAAGTTTACTTCAGAAATCCACGCATACGAAGTAACGGGCAAAAATCTAGTATAAGTAATATTAAAAATAATATATATTTATCAAGATGTGATTTTTTTATTTAAAATCTCAAATTTTAAACATTAAATTAAATTAAATTTTATTTATATGGCTGATTTCGTAAAGCTTATAAAATTCTCACTCGCTGAACATTATTTCAATATTTGACCGGTCCAAATTTTATAATAACGGATGATAAGAAATGTGTAATATACATAAACTAATCATAGCCAATATTTAAAGATATATATTTGCGAACTTGCTAAATACTTAATTAGCAATCATTAGAGACGCACTGTCGCCTCGTACGCTAGCTAAGTCAACGTAATAGGTATTTGAAGAACAATGTGGGTGAGGTGTGAACATAGGTGAAAGTTAATAATTATTTATTTTCTTTAAAATGAGTCCTCTAATTATATATGCAGTTGAACTGTACCTTCTAACTAAATACTGTGTAAATATGTGTCAACAGCGAGGTGAATTTTGATGTACCTAATCGAATTGAGCACCAATCGTTTTCTTGATGTTGACTTGTCTTACAAACACTTAACGCCTATTCGATTCGATGTTCTGTTCGAAATCAAAATTAGAATTCAACCGACATCAAATAGACTTCAACTGGACGTTACCTTACCTTATACTTATTAGACGTCTATTCGATTCTATGACATTTACATTCGATCGCAATATTAAATTTCAATCGTCATATAATTTAAAATTGTGTTCCATAAAAAAATAACTGACTTTCATTGTGGTAAAATCTTTAATTTAAAAACTAAACTGCTAAATCGATTTTGATAAAATTTCTATGGGGCCAGTCTGTAATATTATATAGTCAGATACAAAGAATTTTCCTAAACTGTTTATAGCTGACGGATATATACAATAATACACATAAAAAACGAATTTAGAACCTCTTTTTGAAGTCGGTTCCAAAGAGACATCAACTTGCCTTATACTTATTTGACATCTATTCGATTTGATTTCGATTTAATGCCAATTCGATTGCGTCGAAAATCACCCCGTTGAATTACTAAATAATTCGCAACAATCACCTATGCTTTTTTTGGACAACTGTATCTCTCTTTTGGCCTCGCTAAACTCAGTAAAAATCTTGACGAAATGAAATTGTTTCACAATCTTATTACCAAAGTGAAGACCACTTTGGTAATGAACTGATTACTTCATTAAATACGCCCTTTGGGATTGTGTCCCAAATATTTCATATTCGAGCTTATCGACACACTTTCATGTTGCGCAAGGCGCATCTGTTTATTCAGAATGCATATATTGCATACATATTTATTCTGCATAGACCCTTCAATTTAAAATAAACTAAAGTGAGGCAACAAATTGGACAAGCGAAGAAGATGGCCTCCTGTTATCGTGTAGGTACTGAATAGAAATGATTTCATTATTACAGATTCTATTATAGTCCTCGAAATTTGTAACTTACCTAGTTATAAGCTGGAACATATCTAGGTAATTAATGTCTCTAGACTATAATTACGTGTTTTTTTTATTTTATTTTGAACTATTCCGAAAATTTAAATTTGTCTAAAACACTAATAATTGTACTAAAATATCCTAAAACATATTTAAGTGCTCAATTAAAATTCCTATAAACAAAAAATAAATTCTTAGTTGCAAAATAAAAACAGCAGCAACAGCATTATAGATAAAAAGATTAGATAATGAGTTGTGTCTTTCACAAACCAATCAATCAAATGACAGCAAATTTATTAAGATATTCAAAGACAATTCTTAACTCTTGTTTAACCTATAAGTTGATTGACCGAATTATTAAAGTTTGTTACAAACCGTTAATCACTTGTTTAACTATATAAATAGAATAGGCACGTGAACTTCGCGACCTTACTTATTGAACCGAGAATTGTTCTTAAAGCAACCGAACAAGTGTGTCAGTGGTCCGTGTCTTCCTTCAGTTTCGTTCATTATCAATCACCAATGCAAGCAAACTGTTGACCGCAATCTTCGGGAAATATTAGCGAGTGCCTCTATCTAAATAATCGACGATTAATAGATACATACTTGATAAATTAAAGGTTTTATTTCGTAGGTTTGAATTTTGATGACCACCATGGTTTAGCGATGTAATATATTATTTTATGGGCAGTTATGAAATAATGCACACGCTTATGCCTCAGATAATATACCTAATTGTATCTAGATGATTTAAAGAAGCCATAACAATCGTTTTAGAAATTTTATCTGTTTGTCTGCTTGTGCGTTTGTTGCGGTAACACGTAAAAACTACTGTACCAAATTCGATGAGGTTTTTATACTTGCGTCCCTGAACTGGCGTATGTTTTATCTTGATACGCCGTCTATAAGTGGTTTATTTGATTATATTTCCTACATCTGATATCTGATAAGGTGGTAGTGTGTATTTCAGAAGTACAAAAATAAAATCACTTCTAGATGTCGTATTGCCACAATGAGGATGCAGTCCGATAAATTGCCCTATCGTGGCGAATTCACTATAAATTAACCAAGATATTTTTAGCTGCACCTCATGTAGACCCTCCTAGTTTTAGCACATGTATTAATTTTACTTCCAGATATCTACAATAGTTGCAGATTCAATTCCGTACAAAATAAACATTCACATTAATTGTATTCACACTTCCATTTATGTAAGGGATGATTTCCGCCTAACAGCTTCCGCATCTCATCGGAAAGGATGCGGCGACAGCCGATCGCGAGCGGTAGGATGCCGACGCATACAATCGGCTCCGAGCCGTCGCTTACAAACCTATCCGTTTCTGTGCCTAGCCAAACAGTTTCATGCCTACTGTGTTGGCGTGTTCTAATTTTTTAAAATGGCTGAAGTTAACGTAACATTGTTGGCTACTACATTAGAAGAAGAAGAAAATAATTATAAACACACATAAAAGGAAAAAAGGAAAAGAAAAATAAGTTGTGCCACCCGGCCATGGCTTTGAGTGCACGAGACGGCAGCCGCAAGGATCCAATCAAATACGACAGACGAACGGAGCCAATCTCGCGTCGCAGCATATTTTCGAGTACGATCGTATGTCGCGGAAAGCGCTCAGTCAAGCTGATGTGAGTGACTTGGCAGTATAGACTTTAAATACTGTGTACACGATTTAATATCGTTTAAAGATTGTAAAATCCGTTCCGATCCTATCCGATGCGAACCGTTTGGTGGAAATCATTCTTTTTAATCTGGATATTTTTGTGTCTCTAATAACGTATCTATTATATTTAAAAAAATATAATTATAAAACCTCTACCTTATATTATAAAATGTTTACCATGTATTTGATATTTTTGCCAAATGTGAATCGATTTTCATAATTATACTTACTATCGGTAAAGTTTTATTATTGCTTTTTTGTTTACTCTTGAGGTAATTTTACATATTACATTTTGTCACAATTGAAGTGATTTTTGCGAAGTAAATTTTTTAATTATCATTTCAGGAACTAGTAATGTCGATATTTCCTTATGTACTTAAAAAAGGAGTAAAACCTTTAAAGAAATTTAAAAAAAAATTATTGAGTATAAATCCAGAAACAATATATCAATAATAAGCTACCAAAGTACTCATTGACCCACAGTAATTGAACGCACTCGAAAAACACCTATTCCTTTATTCAAAAACACTCTCGCTCATTATACAGACCGCACCTTGGCCTACATATAAACGCCGAGATTCTCGATTCGGAATGTATGTTTTCTCATTACAATTACAATAATCTCAACACAAATGGTATCGATTTAAAATTCCGATCGTGTTGAATGAAACAATCGGATAATCGCATAGTAAATACGAGTAACAGTAGGCGCATCTAACCAGTATGATCTTGACCTACTCGTATTCTATGTGACCTTACATTTGCATACCGTCACATCATGTTATCTGTTACTAATCTGTGACAATACATACGTGTAATACTATAAACGTAGCTTTTTGTTTTCAATTATCTAATTATTCTAGTATCGTCATAACACCGGCCAACAAGGGCGAGGACATAATAAAAAATGAATATTGTTTGAAATGCTGGGTAATTATAAACTTGTGCTACAACAACTGTAAATTAATAATAAAATAAACACTGTACTGTATTCTGATAAACAAACTTTAAAAAAAAGAAGAATTTCAGTTCAAGTATTTTTCTGAACCTATTTTGACAGTACTTTTTTTTAAATGTAAGTTTTCTTTTTGGTTCCATTCTGTTTTTATCAGAAGTACCTAAAGCAAATAATTTGCGGAACAAAATCTTAAGTCAATATCGGGGTGAACGCCACCAAAGAAGAAGAAAATCTTAAGTCAGACGCTCATATTGCAAAGACAATCTTTCATTTACTCTTTTACAATTTACTAAAAGGATAGCTATCTTAACATCCATACTTACCATTCCACCACTTAAATAAAACCATAGGCGCATGGGTGTGTAAGGGTGTGGCTAGCCCTAGAATCCTCTAATACTTACGAACTTTAATACTCCAGGATATAGATAAAGTTTCACAAAGACATATATGAGTGTATTGTACAAGGGACTGGAAAAATAACCTAACATACACCCTGAATAAAACTATATCATGCCGTAATAGATCAGCCGAAGACAATAAATTTATAAAATCATGTCACATAAACAGTATTTTAAAAAAAAATATGTACAAGACCTATCTCTCATAAAAAACTCTACGCTAGAAAAGAAAAAGTAAATACAAGTAAACGTATTTTCAGAGTGGAAGCGGCTCGTCTCACGGTGCTCGTCGGCGAATACGACGTGAACCACACCCGAACTGATGGCTTCGAAGTATCGCATGTGACACAGCATCCAGACTTCAATCGGTACACATACGACAACGATATCGCTGTACTGCGACTCGCTGAACCACTACCTGAACATCTGTATAGACCTGCCTGTTTGCCTGGTGAGTTTTATTTATCTAATGATGGTGATATTCACACATTCAGTCTACAACGGTGTTTCCCAACGTTGGGCCCACGCCTCACAGAAGGGCAATGTGATAGTTAGGGGGGGGGGGGGGCAATTAAAAAACAGACTAGATTTTAATCCTCTTGCTCCGAGCCATTTAAATGCAATGCTAGAGTAGATATCCGTGCCAATTTAACAAAAAAAGTAAATTAAAAAATGCTATAAATATTTATTAGGTATAATTTCGTTTGATGTTACCAAAATATTAACTGGGCGATTAGAGTCGTCAAGTAAACTTTGTCGGGATAAATTATGTATGGGGGCATAAAAATTTTAGAAATGTTCAAGTGGGGCATGATACAAAAAAGATTCGGAAACACTGGTCTACAGTACAGGTAAAGATATATAAAGAAAGAAAGATAAATAAAGAAGCACATTCCAATAATTTTCTTCAATCATTTATAGATGATGACAACTCACTTGAAGGTGAAGACGCTGTAGTATCGGGATGGGGAAGCACTATTGAAAAAGGGCCCGCTTCAAGTATACCAAATAAAGTGAGTGGATTTTTTTTTATAATAAAACTTCCGAAATCTACCACATGGCACATGGTAACAATGTATAACAGAATTTGTGATATATATATTTATTAAAAAAATAAGAATATAATTACAAAATTGACTGAAAATCGAAAAACTATTATTTGATTAACAGTGAGTTATGTTCTTATTCTCACTATAATAACATAAATTTGAAAAAGCGTATCAAAATAATTCTTCAATCGAGGATGCAATGCGAATAGTGATTTTAGAGATAGATATCCTCTGCACATAATTAATACCTATAATATACAATAATAATAATAGACATCGAAATTCGTATTTTAAAAAGATATTGAATTTTTCAGGCCAAGGTACAAATTTGGACTCAAGATGACTGCAGCGGCGCTGGATACGGCCGTAGAAAGGTTACACCCCGCATGCTGTGCGCCAACGCTCCAGAACGCGACGCCTGTACTGGTGACTCAGGTGGTCCCTTGTTAGTTCCTCAACCATACTACACTATTGTGGGTGAGTTTTCTTCATCGTCATCTTATCGGCTAATATTCGATTAAGTATTTTTCCGCTCCAGGCAATAATATTTGCCGCATTTTACAATAATGACCACGTTTGATCATGTTTCAAAACATAAAGCTTTTTACCACTTTTTTAATGGAGTGAAAATAGAATATTAACCCCATTTATGCTAATAGTATAAGTATTCTGACAGAATACTAGTGAGTGATAGTAAATGAAGGTGAACTCTGATCAGTTTTTTTTTAATGGATGATACTAGAATGGTAAACCCGCCTGAACTAACGGTTTACGCTGGCGGGGCACCAGTGAGGTATGATCGTTGAGAATGAAAAGGCAAGTTAGTTAGCCCATTATGTTGGATACTATAGGGGACCCCGTGGAAGTGGACCTGACAGGGTATGACAGGTCGACATCCACGGGCCTGACAGGGTTGCAAGCAAAGGGATTGGTAGTAGTAGGTAGGTCGCATTTCTGCCTGATTACTGACGAGCTTAGTCTATCACTGCGAGGGATACCATAGGTGTCACAGTTTATTGTATGATATCCATGTCAAACTGTTAATGTTAATAGTTGATGTCTATCATTTCTTGTCAGATGGACCGTTTAATTTGTATTCCAAGTTTTATATATATATATTTTTTTCATTTTTGCAGGTGTTGTGTCGTGGGGTCGTGGCTGCGCAAGGCAAGGCTACCCTGGAGTTTACGCGCGTGTAGGTCATTTCTTACCGTGGCTTCGTGGAGCACTAAGGCACGCTTGCATGTGCACACCGCCATCTTTAAGTTAATTTTTTTTCTATTTAAATCTCCGAATACCCAATTGACTGACCAGTGACTAAAAACACCATTAGTAAACTAAATTAATCAAAGCGCTGGCCGTAGGCTGGTCTCCTTCTACGTTAGCTTTTAAAATGTAATATGCATGAAATGTGAGCATATCAAGTGTCCACCAGCAACACACAGCAGCAACGGTCCAGAAATGCCTCTGACAACCCTATTATTGTCATGAGCATATTCTTTTAAAAAAAAAACTTTTGTTTATGTATTTTTTGTAGAAAACATAATCATTATGTTAATAAGCTTTATTTGTTGATGTTGTTAAAAAAGATCTTATAAAATCACATGCAAATAATACCATAAATCATGTACTAAATATTAACTGTTAGACTTTCTCGTTGCATGATTTGTGGTTTATAAAAGACCGTAATTAACGCGACCATTTTATTTATTTATAATATGATTAGGCAAATTGATAATTTACGTAGAATATCTTGATATTATAATTGCATTAATACCCGTCTCTTATAAACCGTGCAGTAGGTGCTCCATGTAGCAACAGATGTAGGCAAGTAAGTAAATACGGATAGAGGCCACTAAGTTTTTTTTTTTTGATAAGTGAAAATGACATGGTAACCCCGCCTGCGCTAACGGGATACGCTGGCGGAGCACCAGTGAAGGGTGATAGATGAGAATGAAAACAGGCCAGTTAGCCCATCATGATGAATTCATCAGGAATTAACCATGATAGTTTCCAGGGAGAACCGCGAGGAGGTCGACCTGGTTGGATATATTGCTAGCAATGAGATTCTCAGTCTCCATTACTAACAATCCCTTTCCCCCCAGTCACTTAGTTTTCCTGCTTACATAACAACCTGGGATGTAATGGACTGGTAAATATTATGTGTAGTTGATGTCTATGTAGCTATATTAAAAAGCTTTAAATTTTTTATATAGAGCACTAATGAGTGGTGATACGTGAAGATAAAGTAAGATTACGTACCAATGTGGATTTACCTTGATAGTTTCCATGGGAAACCACGTGATTGTCGACCTACATTGATATATTTCAGATTACTTTTTAGGAAGAGGAGGCTATTTAAGGAACAATAATAGTGTTCACTGGCGTGGTACCGGTGAGAGATCATACGTTCTAACGAACTCAACAATAAATATTACTATAGTTTCCAGGGGGAACCGAGACGAGATCAACCTGATAAACTATATTAGAACAGTTATATCCCATTATTAACAAACCCTCCCCCCCCCCCCCTCTACCCTCTTCGAAAAGGTATATACATACATTCGGATATGTCTTTACGAAGTGTCACTCAAATCCTAGAATGGGCATCGAATAATTTTAAGATTGGTACGGCCCACTCGAACACTTCTTAAATACGCATGCGTCGACCTGTGAGGACAGAGTAATTAATAGCAACAAGAATGCTACTTGACAAACAATTATTATCCCCTTTTAAATATGGCCAGTTATGTAACGTAGTATTAGAGAAATATATATATATATATATTGTATATGTTACCAATATGCTGACAGAGGCAATTTATACTTAAGAAGATTTAGAATAAAAGTAATATGAATATTAGTCTATATTCAACAGTATTAACGTATAACAATACTTAAACTAGAATAATAGACAAAATTTTATATTTTTCTTAAATAGTTACTATAGTAAACTATATGGCTGTGAATTTAGATTAAGAATATGATAAATATCTTGCTTAGTTATTTGTAACTAATAGATATTAATATAATTTTATCTTATGTAAGTAGCTACCTATTATTATACGGTATTTATCTATGTGCAAATGGCGTTTATGTTATGATTAATAAATATATTAATAATGAAATAATTTATTTTTTTTATTTCGTATTGTTTTCAATTTACTATTAATTTATAAACATTGAGGTCTTCCAATATTTACTTACTAAGTATTATAAATGTGAAAGTGAGTTTGTTTGTTTATTACTTACTGCAACCTTAACAACTTCATTCATAATTTTAAAATTTGATATACCTGTACCTAAGACCTGCACATACTATATGGAATGAAGAATGCAGAAATGACTGTCAATATAAATAAAAAAAAAACTGGTCAAGTGCGAATTGAATTCGCGCAAAGAGATTGAATTTTTTTTTGTGAAATAACTATAAATAGAGTTTTACTTATGCTACATGACATTGCTTCTTGCTACATTTCATGATTCTACGTCAACGGGAAGTACCCTATAGATTTTGATTTTTTTGCGAATATTAAAATATACGATATAAACGACCGTATCTTTCGATTGCACCGATTTAAAAGCTTGATTATTTCACTGTTTTAAGAGATTACAGACCTAAGTATAAAATATATTTTCAACTTAATATCTCCAAGCGTTCCTAAGAAAGTATCTTGACAGGTGGACGGACGGATAACGGAGTGGTCCTATAAGTGTTCCGTTTTTTCCTTTAGAAATACAGAAGCCTAAAAATTACGCTTCACTTATAATTAAATTGTGTAAAAAATATTAAATTAACTACTATATGTTTGAATCTTAGATTTAAATAAATTACATAATAATATAAATAAATTTACATTTAATGTGATATATAAAAGTTTATCAAAATTGGTAATATAATTGAGATAGAATTTCGACTCCGCTACGACATAAATGAATAAATTAATTAATTAGATTATATATACAAAGTTTAAGTATACTTAACTATAATAATTTTATTGTTTAATTACCTATTCAAATCTTTTGTAAATTGTGCTAAAAACCTCGCTTGTTTTTTTATATTATATCAGACTGAATGCGAATTTATTTTATTTATCTATTTAACTTTCTTTTATATTACTACGTAATTTATTAAAAAAAAATAAAAAAATTTTTAAATAACTACTATACGCAGTGTAGGACTACTTTGTTATATTTTTGTTCGTCTTTTATTTATACAAAATGTCATTAAAACGTTTTTATAGACGCAGTATTTAGCGACAGGATTTTAAGCTACTTGGGTCAATTGAATTGAATATCTAAAAGTATCCGTAGACGGTCAATTAATAATCTTTTCATAAAGTCTATATTAATTATTTATCTGAGATATCTGTCAACACATGTCAGTAAAACACAAATTTCCCGCCAAAATTTCACGTTTGACATTTGGGAATTTGAGACGCCTTTGTCACACAGCTGATATAGATAGTTAAGATATATTTTATTTTGAAATAAAATAATATTGTATGAAACGTACCGTGCTATTTAGTTAAGTTGTAGTTATTTTTCTTAATAGTGAAATCAAACATGAATTTTTCGGATAATGAAGCTGTAAGTTGAAATATAACTATTGAAAGTTGACGCTCAATGTGACCAAATCGATGTCTTTGTTTCATTATATTCTCTCCCTGTATCAGTAATTAATGACATCAGGAATAATCTGCCTATTATAGAAAAGCTAACATTATTATTTCTGACTTAGGATGACACGTCGAGCGTTGAAAGCACATCAAATACAGATAACACATCTCGTAGTGAAACTCCAACCAATTCCCGCGTGAAAAAACGGAGACGAGGCAAAAAGAAAAGTACAAAACAAGTTAAACCTCCCTATAAATTTAAGTAAGTTGTTATTGATTTATATTGACGACACTATAGCTGATTCTGAGCTGTCGTTTCTCTAAACCTATGTCTACTTATAAAAAAAAAGGTGTTGGTTATTACAAATGGGATTTTTTCGTCCAGTGGTGTGTATGTAGTAGTTTCTTATATGGATATTTAACCCATCTATATTATGATAAACATAGTGGTGATGAAGATAATCCCAATAGGGGAGGAATATATTTAGTACCTAATGATAGCTTACAACCCTCTTAAACTCTGGTAGGTAATAGAAGAAAGAGACAAGGATTATGATTTCTTGACAACAGAGGTGAGAAAAAAATTATCTACTCAGAATTAATACAATACAATTACATCAAACCAGTCTATCAGAGTGACTCCAAAGCAAAGTATAACTTATAGGATGCGGCTCCTAACTCCATACATCATTATCATCTCAGCCATTAACTATCCACTACTGAACATAGACTTCTCTATACATGTAATATTATTATTAAAGATTACGCAGTTCTTGCATAAAAAGTAAAATTTCAAGAATCAAAGGAGGTATTAAGGCACTAGGCCATTATAGAATACCTGTCAAGTTTAAAAACCATTCAGAAGCCAACAATTTTGTTGAAAATCCACTACTTACAGTTAATAGTCTTTTTTTTTTTGTGCAACAAAGAATGACAAACAAGCTGACGGCTCACCTGGTGGAAAGTGTATAAAGTATATAGTCTGCCAGCATCCCAAGATTCCAAGCTTTCCAAATGGGAGTTGATAGTAAAATATCTAATGATTGGTCGCTTGAGGGACTGGTCTACAATTAGTCGCAATTAACAAGTTAAAAGAGCCAGTTGATTAAATCTCACAAACCAGACAACTTAGTCACTTGAATCTTCAGTTTTTTTGCTGGAAGAGAACTCTTTTACAGTTAAGCTCACCTTTATACATTTGCTTACCTCTGTTGTATCTTTATGTATTGTTAGTGTGTACAATAAAGTATTAATAAAAATACTATGATAAGTCAAGTATTAGACTTCTGATGGCTTACCCCATAACACCCAAACCTGAGTGTTTCAGTTTATTTTTGTGTAGGCATTCCTAATTATGAAATATTCTACCTAATATTGTTACACTTTGTTTTTCATTTATGTTACTGTTGAGTTGCATGATTTTATATATTTTTTTTTTTCTTTCTAATAGAATCTGCTATTGACTGCCAATGATTGTATATCCTTCTTATAAACAAGCTGAAAGAGATACTTGATTGTTTTAAAATTTATATAGACAGTGTCTAAGAATTTTTTTTTTCACAGTTGTAGTGCCAAAGAAGACCATGGACAGCCCTTATTTGGTTGTCAGTTTAACCATCATTTGGGAGAGGGAGAACCATTAATATTTGCAGTTGTTGGCAGCAACAGGGTATCCATATATGAATGTCCTGAATCTGGAGGCTTTAAGTTCTTACAGTGCTATGCTGACCCTGATGTAAGTAAAATAACCAATTCTATACAATTATGATAAATACTAAATAATGAAATAAACACCTCATCCATACACATGAATTACAGCCAGAGGGGATGAAAAGGATTGTTAGTAATGGATTATCACAATCTCACTGCGAACAATATAGCCTATCAGGTGGATGTCCATGCGGTTTTGTCGTCTGAAAACCATCATGGTTAATTCTTATGAATTTCATAATTATGGATTGACCTACTTTCTTCCTCATCTATCATCCCTCACCAGTATAAACCCATAGTGCAGGCGAGGATGTATAATTGTAGTGCTCATGCATTATTGCAAAATTACACTTCAAAGATGATATTCATGTTTACATTCAATATATAGGAAGAGAAGGGAATTGTTTCTTTTTTAATGAGTAAAAATAAAGTAGTAACCCTGCCTGCGCTATCGATGTACACTGGCATAGAGAAGGTGGGGTAAATTAATTTTTATTTAATTTTCTGTTCTGTTTGTGACAATTAAAATTGGGTTTTATTATGAAACACGATCTTAAATTATCATTCATCAAAAAAAATTAAGATATACAATACACTAAAAGGTTAAATTTTACTTAACATCCTGGATAATAATTAAAACCTAATTTAAAATTTTGAACTTTGTGTTTTTTAATTCCTCATTTAAAATAAGGAATTAAAAAACACAAAATAAAATTTTTTACAATATCATATTTCTTCAGGTCGATGAAATATTCTACACATGTGCATGGTCATATGAAGAGGAGTCAAATTTGCCTCTCCTAGCAGTTGCCGGATCACGGGGCATTATTCGGATATTTCAACCAGCCACGCAGACCTGCATAAAACACTACATAGGTCATGGTCATGCCATCAATGAGGTCAAATTCCATCCTCGAGATCCAAATCTACTGCTATCAGCAAGCAAGGACCACGCACTACGTCTTTGGAATATCATGACCGATGTTTGTATAGCAATTTTTGGCGGTGTCGAGGGCCACAGAGATGAGGTGTTGAGCGCCGACTTCGATCTTAAAGGGGAACGAATCATGTCATGTGGCATGGACCATTCCCTCAAATTGTGGAGACTCGACAAGCCGTCAATGAATGAAGCTATCAAACAGAGTTACAATTATAATCCCCACAGGGCACTGAGGCCATTCAATTCTCTAAAAGAACATTTCCCTGATTTCTCAACTAGAGACATCCACAGGAATTACGTTGATTGCGTTAGATGGATGGGCGACCTTATTCTGTCAAAGGTGAGTTCGATAATACATCTTCTTTATATAAAAAAAGTCCTGGCCTTTCTTCTTGCCTGAAATTGTGTTCTAAATGAGCGGTAATAAAAAAAAATACTATTTAAAATTGCTTAAATCGAAGTTTACTTGAATAAAAATATTTGCTTCTTTCTTTCTGGCGCCAAACTATTCCATTTCTGACTCACCGAAACCACTCGACCGATTTTAATGAAATTATGTAAATGTATATTGTTTGGTTCAACTTGATGGATAGATTAGGTTTTATTCCAATAAAAAAAATATCTCTATCAAGAAGCAAAACAATGTTTGCCAGGTTAGATATTTTGTTCACAATATCTTAGACATAAATGATCAGATTACCTTATTACCGCACATGAAATTGCAGTCATGAACACAGTTATTCGTAATAATACAAATGTATATATTGTCTAAATATCGACATATCAACACATATTACTAAGCTATCACATAGGTGACCCAGTGTTCACCAATATTTTCTATACCTAACATTCTATACTAAGAGCAAAGGTTTGATTTTTTTATTTGTAATCTATAAACTCAAAAAATACGTATTATAAAAATTATTTTGCCCATAAAAAGCTATACTATCAGCATGTAACACGAGCTGTATTTTATTTAAATAATAACCATGCGAAGCCAAGTCGCATTGCTAATATATTTACATGTAAATGCATTAAAATAACATTTGTACAGTCATGTGAAAACGCCATCATCTGCTGGAAACCGGGACGCTTGGAGGACACTGAGCTGCGGCCCGGAGACAACTCCGTCACCATTGTGCACAGATTCGATTATAAGGAATGTGAGATATGGTTCATTCGATTTGCAGTCGATTACAGCCAGCGAGTAAGTAAACCTGTATTACCTTTGCTAACTTTTAAAACAGAAATAATCATTACTCAAATAAACTTGTTTACAAGCTCTTTCAAACCATAATTTTTTTATAATTCTACTGCTGGGTTCGAAATGTTACTATCTGCTGAGAAAAACTCAACGGTTACTATTTTTAATTTATTTATGTACAAGATAATTTTCCATTTGTATGTTATATTTTGCACAGAAGTAAGTAGTAGAAGTAATTCATCATCACCATCATTTCAGCCATTATCCGTCCACTGCTGGACATAAGACTCCCCCATAAACTGCCATAAAAAACGGTCATAAAGAGGTAACCATTCAAGTTATTGAACGAGCTATGGAGATAGCTATACTCAGAGTTTCTTTGCGTGATAGAAAGGATAAGCATGCTAAAGTGGCAATGGACTGTGTGTGATGATGTGGCCACATAATTCGAAGAACTAACAACCAATGGGGAAAAAAGATTCCTAAATGGCGACCCTGTATGGGCAAACACAGTTACTTTTTGTATTAGAAACTCTTTCTACCCCTATGGCTCTCAGTTTGTTGCTGTACAACTGATGTTTCCACTTCAGCTATAAATATTGATTATTACAGGTGATCGCATTGGGTAACCAGTGCGGCAAGACAATGGTGTGGGAGCTGGGCAGCGTGGCGGGAGGCTCGCGCGTCTCCCAACTCGTGCACCCTCGCTGCGTGGCGGCCGTCAGACAGGTAGACCACTCACTACGACTAGGGGGAAATTCGTACATTTACAAACAAATTCCAAAGGGGGAAATGGATTATTAGCAACGCAGACTACCAGTCCCATTACTAGCAATATACTCTGTCAGGTCGACCTCCTCGTGGTAATCATTGCGTTGAATTTCAGGAGTATTCATCACGATGGGCTAACTGACGTGCATTTCATTCTCATCTATCATTACTCACTGGTGCCCCGCCAGCGTATACCGTTAGCGCAAGCGGGGTTACCATTCCATTATCATCCATTAAAAAAAACTAAATTACAAAGCCATAAAAAAGTAGATGATTAATATAATATATTTATTTATTTAGATAACTTTATTGACCAAAATAAAATAAGGTACAGAAGGCGGACTTAATGCTAGTACGAGTAGCATTCTCTACCAGTTAACCTTTGGGATGATATATATAATCTATTTATAATTCACCAGAGGGAGACTGTACAAAAGTCGATTGCTTGGGTACCTCTGTCCCATTCATGTTTCAACCGTGAAGCAGTTGTGTTTGCATGTCTGTGTTGCGGTTTGAAGGATGAGATATGACGTGAATTTATTGGGTACAGAGGAATAACATATGAGTCCTTAGGAATAACAACGCATGGGGGGTATCATGGGCGAAACAGTATACTCTGTTATGTACATGGTACTGTTCATGTCTATAGGCGACGGTTACCACTTTACATTAGGTGGGCCATCAGCTTCTTTGCCATTCTAAGTTGTATAAAAAAACCTTATTATCTTTTAAAATGATTTGACCACATTCCAATCGTTATACCAATTGTATATAAGATGGACTTAGAAACGAGTTTCCAAACTTATAAATTGTTTAAATATTCCCAAGACAGTCACATTAATATATATGTGGCACGATGGAGTAATAAAAACAATAATCCAATCACTTCCTAAATTTATTTTTATAAAAACGTCTTATACATGCGTTGTCGTCGTATTACTCTTCGTCCATCTTCCTTTTTTACCCTATCTCCATTCCACACACGTTTCTCGTTCTCTCTCACTCATTCTAGTTCGTAACTATTCACATCTCATACTATCTCGCTTCTACACGTCATACTCACTTACCTGCCTTACTTACCTATTATATATGATTGAGGTAATCTTACTTACTATAGAATTAACTGTGATTTATTTTTACACAGGTGACGCTTTCACGGAACGGCAAAGTTTTGCTTGCTTGCTGCGACGACGGCACCATCTGGCGATGGGACCGCGTAAACAACGTGAACAATTAGACAATAAACTTCGTGGCAAGATAGTTCCTCACACTCTCTTATATTATGTTCAGACTTAATTTTTCGTAGACAAATTAATTTGTAGTTAAATATCGAATTTAACTAATTAAGCAATTATTATTAATAATAATAATTTTGACAACTGTAAAAACCAATCGAAAAGGAAAGTTTTCTGTAACGATCCTGTACAGTCAAAATCTTATTACAATAACATTCACAATAAATGTGACGATCTCAAATTTGTTGCCAGCAATTGGTGAATGCAAATAACTTGGGATACCATACCATGTGGGAATCTGTGTTCAGTGGACAATTGTGTTGTATGAAGTTGTGTTGTATGTTAAAAAACTTGTTGAAGGCATTCCAATGAGCCAATTATGTGAGCAAAGTTTTTGAATTGGAAGAGGCGTGTGCTACTAAGAGATTAATTTCACTACATTATCTACTATTTTTATGACAGTAGCTTAGATTATATAAATAGAGTGTCTCCGTACAAAAACTGGTAAACTTTTTTTCATCCATGTGTGTATAAATCATGTTATCAGTATATATAGTTAATACTAAGGTAAAATTAAAAAAATAAAAACGATATAAGTTTATTATATAATATAATATATTTAAAAGAACAAGAGAAACAATGTACAATGATCGTAATGATGCTTATTTTTACTGAATACTTTGGTTTAATTCTAAGTAAATACATAAAATATGTTTTTGTATTTAAATAATTGAAAATAGCCGCCATTTTAATTAATACATGTATATTAATTTACAAGCATAGTACATATCTATATTTATATTGTATAAGAAAGAATGGTTCCAAATTCAAATTTAAATAATGAACCAGAATCTAGGAAATTTTTAATCTAATTATTTACAACACTAAAAAAAAACGATTTGATTTAAAAAAAATTAGTCGACCAAACGTCAAATTGGCTGAATAAATTTTGACACTTGATGCTCTATTTATATAATCTAGAATAGTAGTATTAAAACTGATTGTTTATAGCCCGTTAAAAATAGTGCACGCTAGTCACTAGCCAGTTGACCAAAAGCGCGGGAAACGGTAAGAGCTATACTGAAATCAACAGTAATATAAAGAAAGCCAAATATGTTGATCCATTATATATCCACTTCTGCGTCTGTGGGTCTATCAATTAACAGTACACTAAGTTGATAAGTTATAATGGTAACAAATGAAAGATAACAATATTATCTTGAGAATTTGCAATGAATTATATGTGTATGCCGGTTTGACAGCAGGTATTGAAAAAAAAAAATGCGATGTTCAATCACTAGAAAAGATGTATGGTACTCGAAATGTGTAAACAAAATTATGAGTGAGAAATGAGTGTACTGAGGAGTATGCTCACAGATAAAGATGAGATTTAAATAGATGTCGCATCTGCATATATGTAGTTTAGTTGCCCATTAAAAGTACCTCCTCTAATATTATATGTACTTTGATAATAATATTACTCTGCAAATAATAGCAAAAACTTCAATTGTAACAAAAAATATATAAAAGTACACCCTACGTAATTTAAAAATAATTATCAAACGCAGTTTAGTTCCCTTAGGTAAGTGACAAATGAATTTGTCGATAGAATCATTGTCGCTACCGAGTTTATGAAAGATTCCTGAGACCTCAGAAATGGTAACGCATGGGGAGTATCATGGGCGAAACAGTATACTCTGTTATGTCCATGGTGCTGCTCATGTCTATAGGCGACGGCTACCATTTTCCATCAGGTGGGCCGTCAGCTTGTTTGCCATTCTAAGTTGCATAAAAAAAAATTTAAGCGCAAACCGAAACATATATGTCTATTAGGGGTAGGTTATAAGAATATCTCTATTTTGACTACAATATCGAAATGAAAAACCCAATTGAAATGAATATAGATATCCGTATGTGTTACCTATATCGTCATAGTCGTAGAATACTGACGGATCTTTATATGTAATCTTTGTCAGATCCGTCAGTATTCTACGACTATGACGATATAATAACCTTTTTTTCTCTATTGATGTCGAGAGGAACTCAATATGTAGATATTGGTGCGGTACATATTTTACCTATCCATGCCTAATATCTATCGAGAAATTTCTTTGGCGTTTATCTAAAGGAACTAATTGGTTAAAATATCGCGTAACATTCATTAAAAAAAAATTCAAACGAATCAAGACACTCCTTTTGTGTCGTGTTTTGGTCACTCTTGTTTTTTTTTTTTTTTTTTTTAATATCAATTCAAAATATTAGATCTGCGGCGTCTATTTAAATATATCTCTGTATGTATGCCTATACTCAATGAACTTGATAATGTTCTATAAAGGCCAAATTGATAGTATAACAAATGAGCGTGTATGTAAGAGCATGAATGAAAAGGGGACGTTTCAATAATAATAGAGTTTGTGTGACAATGGTAAACGAATGTAACAACTTACAAAAATCGCGAAGCGAAGTGACAATTACTTTTATCAGCTATTTTTGTCATTGTAGTTTTTTCCAGCGCGGTTTGTTTTTAAAAAACAAATAAAGTTATGTAAAATACATAAAAAGTTGGTATACGTACCAACTTTAAATATATTACAATTTGACATCGCTGTGGCTGTTCTGTGAACGTCTTTAGGTTTCGTTTGCTAATTGTCAGTCACTATAGAACAAAGTAACGATCAAGAGATCGCTACTTTGTACTATAGTAAAGTGACGTCAGCAAATAAAAATAATTAATTTTTATTACCTTTAGAGTACCGACTTTAAAATGACTTAGTCGTTTAGAGTACCTACTTTAAAACGACTTAGTCATTTAGAGTACCAACTCTAAAATGACAGTCACTTAAAGTACCGACTCTAAAATAATGTAGTCATTTATGGTACTGACTCTAAAATGATTAAGTCATTTAGAGTACCGTTTCTAAAATAACTTAGACGTATAAGACGCCGCAACTAAAATGACTTCGTCATTTAAGGTAGCTACTTTAAAATTACAAATATTTTAAAAAATCGCAGACGTCAACTAATTTGTGGTCTGCATCCTGGAAGGAAAAAGGTCATTTAGGAATAATCATAATTTTTTTTCAAATGACTCTAGTCGTAATAATATGACGAATATTACACATAAAAGAATCGACATGCAACATTTTATATGCATTGTCCATGCATAATAAAATCTTATGAAACTTTGTGTTTATTATATAAATTTGATACACCAAAAATAGGGTTAAATATGTTGAAGTTCTGACTATGCACAAAGAGGGTGGTTTTGGATTTATCCAATATATATGTATAACCATTTCTTGAACACATAATGTAATCTTAATAAATTTGTAAATTATAATAATGATAATAATAATGTTCATGTTATTGAATTTAAACAATAAATGTTGAACTGAGACATGGTCTGACTATAGAAAATAATTGATATGATAATTAAAATATTGAAATAAATACAATTTATTAGTACGTAAGTATTTTTCTACATATGAATAAAAGAAAAAGACTGCCTTTAGTCAAATTTATATTTGTTGTATTATTTATCCACACTCGTTTTAAATTTAAAGGCGGTGAAGAGGTTTCATGGCCATTAACGCGCACGCAATGTATCGAATATTGCAGTGGTATAAAAAAAATCTAACATGCATTAAGATTTGCTCATCATAATAGATTTTATTCCAAAAATCAAAATTTCCAACTTTAAAAACCCGTTATTTTGAGAATAAATTACTGAACCAATTTTGATTAAAATTCTATAGGAACGCTGAAGAAGTATATTCATTTAGATAAAAAAAAACGATTTCCAAATCGGTTTATAAATGACGGAATTCTAAAGTAACAAAATATAAATGAATTGAAAATCCTTTTTTGAAATAGGTTAAAAACCATGAACACTATTAAAAAAGAAATATACTCACGACTGTAATACCTAATAGGACTGTCAGAGGCATTTGTCTATTATATACCATAGTTATGAATGTAGGTTTTTAAATATAATTGTTTTGTTTAAATAAAAATACAAAAGTTTGTTAAAAATTTTATTATGGCCAACAATACATCTACGTTTAACAAAATGAATCACAGGGGCCAAGGTGTTATCTCGTGTCACTACTCCGGTTAACGTACATTGTTGCTTCTAATTACGTGTCCTAATGTAAAATTTACAGCGCTCACAATTTTTAACGAAGCAAAAGTTCAAATTTCGGAATCCTAAAAAAAACTTGACAGAATTTTTTTTTTACCATAGATATTGCATATATAAGTAATTATTAGTTTAAAGTTCATAGAGTAACACACAAATTTGGGAATGTCAAATTACAAAACTAATTTTAGAATATTAAGATTGTGTTCCAAAAAACAGTCTTCAATCATGGCAAAGCCAGTTATTTTTATTTCTAAACTAAACTAAACCGATTTTGATAAAATTTCTATGGGACCAATCTGTAAGTATATACTTTCGAAGAAAAAAAGAATTTCCCAAATCGATTCATAACTGACTGAGTTATAAAATAACAAACATAAATTACAACAGAATTGAACGTTCGTTTTGAAGTTGACTGAAAACCACTTTCTACGAGTCTACTGCATAAAATAAGCATCAATTTCATGCGTTGCATTTATTCACCCCCGGCTGTACTACGATTTGCTGTAGATACATTATTTTACCAAAGCCGGGTATCGCAAATTTTGTTAAAATTGTCAGCGCTGTTTTATTCTAATATCTAACACCGATATCAACGTCCCTATTATTCACTACGACGTAAATATATATATATGTTCAGTACCTAGATAAATAGATACCGGCAAATAACCTGAGCATAATTTTTAATACCATGCGACCTGCGCAGTGACAATCTTACGTACAAAAATCATTTACTGCGCAGCCTTCATTGTCTATGGTGTTATATAATTTTGAAACTTGTTCTTTATTCAAAACATTTATATATAGTTGGACAATAGGAATTGAGGCGAAACACTCGTACTCAAGAAGAAAAAACCTTAAAAATTCTAGATAAAATTGAAACAATTATATATCAGAGACGACAAACATAGTAAGTTCATTAAATTCTCTTTGTCCAGTTAAATACAAATGTTTATGGTGTTGTCCAAGTTGTTTGCCGCGAATTATACTAAATCTAACACCGATGACAGCGTAATTGAATTTTAATCAATTTCCATTTTATTCAGTCTTTAAATTTTATAATTAAAACGAGCAATAAAGACTGGCATATAAAACAACCAATGTACAAAATTTTAACATTACAATTTGAGATATTTTTATTATAAAAGACTTTTAATGTTTTTTTTTTTCTTTTTAAATCAGCTTTACAGAGATTGAGATACAAATAATACTTTCCGAACTCACACAAAGTAAAACATGTTTATACAAAAATAATGTACGCACATACGGTAAGCAGCATTCATACTAACACAACATGTACATTGAGCTAATTCCTAAACCAGTACAAACAATATTTTACTACATATGTATAATTATTAATAAAATGTACAGTATATAAGATCAGTCGCACACTATATAAATAAATCAATAGAGATTGTACTCTCGTAAATTTAAACCTATTTATTATAGGAGGTAGGAAACAATTAGAATCTCCCCTGTATTGGTAATATTTATACACAATGTATGTATGCGACTGCCTGCAAATAATAGTACATCAAGTTGAGATCTTCACAAATAAAGGAATGTACTAGAATACTAAAAAATTGTAACAATCAACAATGAACGTTATTACAACATCATAAAGGCACATAACTATTAAATAAACCATCCAAAACAATGGTGTATCGATAAATTACGTTCGTGAATTATACTTAAAATATTTGCTTGTCTTAAAACGTGACATTCCGTTTTCAGTCGTTAATACTAGACTAGGGTCCACCAATAATAACCTAGTTTCTACCTTTTTAAAATCGGACGTTTCGCACTGAGTGCTATCAGAAATTGAACTGTATGATTTGCACGTAAGAGTGAATGATATGAGATATAGCGAACTAGATATTTGAAAGATTTTTCTTATTGGACCACGCTGCTGGTAAGCTGGAATTTAATTCTTGTACTGTGATACATGTATCGCGTTTCAATTACGTTATTCATTGTCCGATCTATATTATGCCTTACCTAAGCAAATTGCAAATGTTTACAGCCAATTTCACATTAAAAACTGTTAAAGTATAGATAATGGGAAAAAACAAAAAAATAATTTGCATACCACGTGACCCACGCAGTAATAAATGTTCATACAATAGCGTTTAAAAAAAAAGTCTGTAAGACCAGAATGTCTAGTTTTTGTTCAAGTTGTTTGCCGCGTACTGTATATTTAAATAATTCATATAGCAAATATAATGAGAGTGGATGGTATTCACAGCTTATCAACATTGGCACTGTTATTTGGGCCTGCACAAACGAGATATGTTCGCGGATGGTAATAAAATCTTTGTGTTGGTTAAGGTACTTCCACGGACCCATATGTGAGCAAGGCGATTCTATAAGTTCTGTTTTGACGGACAAACAACTAAATACGCCACAGAGTGTCACTCCTTTTTATCAAGCCCATAATGTAAAAAAATATTATAACATACAATACATAGATTAACAAAAAAAAAAACAAAATAGACCAAACAGACTAAAAAGTAGGACTAAAAACTTCAGCTGCCCGCTAACGAAATGCTTTCTCACTGTATTGGATTGACTGCAAGAGATCTCTGTCAGAGATAAGTCCACCCTTGTTCACAACATTTATAAATACATTATTTTATATGTAACTTACAAGTGCAATAAAGAATTGGTGACAGTAATTTTTGTTCTGGAACATTCTCGTATAATGCCCTTTCTGCAGGCAAAATTGAGAGCGGCTAGTCGTTAAAATGGGCAACTAATATTCTTGCTCAGAGCGGTAAAATCACTAGAATGGTCAAAAAAAATTTTTTTAATCTTTAATCTAATGTGAAATCGGCTGGTAAATGATGTGTTAAGGATTTTTATTATAACACCCGAATACCGACATGAAAGTCTACGATTCTACCGGTTTACAACTATATCTATAAAGTGTTAAATCACTACATTTGGGGCGGTTGATACTTACAACACTAATCTTAAAGTGAAGATATCATATAGTTAGATAGTATGAGCATAACATCGTATACAAAATTAAATGAAAAATAAAAAAAAAAGAATCACTTAGCTTTTGTCAATCTTACGCACGCACACATTTATCGCGCACGTAATCTTGCGTGCAATATGAAGCTATACAAGGCCCCTTTCACACGGACACGCCGAAAACTCAATGGTTACGTTTTTATAATTACCTGGTGATAAGCGATAACATAATATATATATATATATATATATATATATATATATATATATATATATATATATATATATATATATATATATATATATATATATATATATTTCAGATAAAATAAAATACCAAATCGTTTTATAAATGATGGAGTTATAAAGTAACTAACATAAAAATAGACGTGTAGGTCCCGACATAAAATGGACCACCCCTTCCTTTCTTGTGGGTGTTCTAAGAGGCGACTAAGGGAGCTTATGGTAGCGGGACAGGAAGCAGCATCCCTCTTAAATCAACTGCTGTTGCCAACCCGCCTGCCAAGCATGGCAACTACTGACAGAACTCCCCTTATGGGGAAGGTTTGTGTTCAACAGTGGACAGTTAACGGCTGAAATAATAATGACATAAAAAAAAATACAACCGAATTGAAAATTTCCTTCTATCTGAAGTCAGTTAAAAATAGCCAGTGACTTAATATGACTTGAGTAAGAAAGGGGGTTAAAAAACCGATTTAAACGAATCGTAAAAGAAAAAATCGGTAAAGTCGAGTGTGACGTTCATCACTACCCCATTGGAGATAATAGTAATGAGCACATTTTATAGTTAAAAGTATAATATGCTTCACGCACGAAATAAGTCGTGTTTAAGATTTTTTTTTTACTTTTCTGGTCTCTGCATTTTCGTGACTAACAAAGACTAATATGTAATCTCATGAAATTTCGATTAATTTAAATATTAACTTGGTCAATAGAACAAAAAACATGATGTGGTATTTAATTATGTATAGAAAAAAATGTTTTACATTTATATTATAATAAATGCTACAACATTTTAAGACCATTTTTCATTAAATAAGAAAATTATTATTATTTTATTCTTAATTTTTAACAAAAAATAAAATTTTAAACAATTATTTTTTCATATTAATTAACTGAAATATTTTTTTTTGTAATGGTTTCATTTAGCTAAAAAATCATAACTAGCCGATTACTCCGAGTTTACGTGTACGTTTGTACTTATATTTAGTAAAATAAAGATTTTTCTATATTATCTACGTTTAAATCACGTGTAAGAACAGCCTAAATACGTGTTAAAGCGCCCTAAAATTGTTGTGCGTGCGTAAGTCATTATTCGTTCATACTTATTTTAAAAAAGGAACCTAAATTTAAAAGTAAATGACTAAACCAATACCTAAGAGCCATTTTTATTCTATTTTTACCCTGACTAGACTTCGACTAGTTTCAGATCATTGCTATTAGAATCATAAGCCCTCCTTATGAACCGTTAAAAGTATGAAATATTTGAAAAAACAAATATTGTTTTTTCATTTACAGGATATCATAAGAACCGATTAGAGAAATCAAATCGATACAGCAATACAAATCTGTTTATTGAGATGTCTGGACAGTGTGATTATAATGGGCCAGGACCGTAGCTAGATCCAAGCTTAAGGTAGGCCAAAAGAACTTTTTGGTAGGGCAGGAGCCATAATTAAGTGACTTTGAAAAAGCAAATCTGTCTAATTTACTTGGGGCCTTTCATTTTAAGGTAGGGCATAAAGCCTTTTAAGGTAGGGCATTGCCCCTCAATGCTCCCCGGCCCCCAGCTACGGCCATGTAATGAGCAACTGAACTTTTGGAAGAGAAACCCGTGCCCGGCTCAACCGTGGCACGTTCATAGGTATCCTGACAATAAATAATAAACAGAGATTTTTTTTTAACTATATCGTATTAAAATTTTTTACAAATCAAAATTTAAAACGTATTTGAATCCACACGTAATAGAAGGCAATCCAACCACCATCTCTTAAATTAGTTTCGTTTGTTAATGGTGTTTTTCATCACCAGGTAATTAGGCTAAACATTAAATTGACACAATGTTTTTTATTGACTCGACTCATAGTCTCGGGAGTCTTAAGTAGAGGTAGTTTATAACACGACGTTCTCACACTGGAAATCTTATATATTTCTCACTTTTAAAGGTTCGTAAATACTACACTAAGGATCTACAAGAAGGATCACAACATCAAGACGATAAAGTACCTTATATATAGATAGTTAAAGTGCAATATGGTACTGATTAATAATAATATTATATCAGTAATACAAAAGTGATCATAATTGAAGATTACAATAGTAGGTAAGGAAAAAGTTCGTCATCTCTCGATTATCTCTACCTACCCCGTAAAAGTTAAGATAGTCGTTAAGATAGAAAACAGTATTAGTTGCAGTGAATTGTAAATATACAGATGTAGATTTGGACAATTAATTGAGGTCTCGAATTATTGTATTCAGTCAATAATGAGCATAAGAAATTGAAGTTTCCTTGAAATATTATTGTGTTACACCGTTTTATATCGTCATAGTCGTAGAATACCGACGGATCTGTCAAATATTACATATATAGATCCGTCAGTATTCTACGACTATGACGATATATTGAGATAATTCATATTCCGTTTATACCTTTTTATTGAGCATAATTTCAAATCAATAGTCAACTTATACAAAAAAGTATTAATAATACTAACTTTAACGAGATCGTAACAACAAATAAAAAAAAATATTTATTTTTTAATAAAACGCATTTTTCAATGTCTACAATTGTTGTTTACTTAAACTAATCCAGGCGTTATAATTAAAAATTGAAAGATATATTAGCCATTTACATAATTACAGTTGGGTAAAGTAACCCAAAGAAAGAAGGGTAATTAATATTCGGGTGTTTAAATATATGTATGTAATTTAAATGGCATATTTATTACTCCAATTTGGCATGTCTGTTTAATAACAGTAAAATAAATTACTAGGTACCATTAGCTGCCATCTTGTGAGCAATATTAGGAGTATTTTTCTTAGCGACCTTCTGTTCTAGAGTTTCGAATGAATGTAGACATCAAGTTAACACTATGAAATTACATAGTAACACTATACTAGTTTTTTTGCACTGTACTAACAGGGTAAATGGCGTGAATTTACTGGGTACAGAGGAATAACACCTGAGTCCTCAGGAATGGCAACGCATGGGGGGTATCATGGGCGAAACAGTATACTTTGTTATGTCCATGGTACTGCTCATGTCTATAGGCGACGGTTACCACTTTCCATCAGGTGGGCCGTCAGCTTGTTTGCCATTCTAAGTTGTATAAAAAAAAAACTTTCAGATCAAATCAAAATTATATCAAATATAACGTTGTGACGTCCATTTAACAATGCAATTCGATTACCGATTTCGACTTGACCTAAAGTGAATTTTGTTAAGTCAATCTACTGTTTTGGTCTAACCAAACAGTCAATATAATGCAAGCACATAACGACATAAGACTTTACACGTCATCATACTACCTGAGAAGTGCAGAGATTAACTGAATCCAATGATCTAGTGATTTCATTCCATCTAAAATCATCTAAATATACAAGCCTACGCAGATTTTGTGTTAAACATTTGCTTTCTTAAGTTATTGTCACTATATTATGTCTCTATATATGCTATGGATGCCAAAATGAATAAAATAATAAACAATACGATCCAGTTCAGTTTGATTAAACTTGCTGGATTCCACATACGGAGCAATATGAATTAGACAGTATGTGTAAACCAAGTCGACTAATTATTATAACAATTCCCTTGCATGAACAACAACCTTCTCGTGGTTTCAATTTAAATTACACCGGATTAACGTATTAACGTTTTCATAGATAAATGACCGCTTAAGTCTAGCGATGCTGAACGTTGCTGAAAATAGACATTCCATACGAAAATATACGTTAAGTCAATATGATTTAGTTCAAATTAAAATACGTTAATATTTATTTTTGATTACAATCTGTAAGGCTACAAACAATATGTCGGCGCTTACAGATAAGCGTTGCTTGTCTATGGTATGTACTTCTATATCTTCCGTCTTGCTCGGCGGTCGTCTAACGAATTGACTAATTATAATTCCTTTGTATGAACCACGACTACTTTATGTATATAATGCGTGCTAGTCTGCGGACAACTTACGCATGTCGCCGCGGACAGATAACCGATGCCTCTCTATGGTACGTACTTCGATGTCCTCCGTCTCGCCTGGCGGTCACCTGACACGGCCGGATGGCGACCGGAGGTGCGAGCGTATGTACCCGGTGCGGTAGTCCATTGCATCGCGGTTGCGCCCCGAACCGTTGTTACCGCGTTGCCGGCGACGGCTCCATCTATGTTAAGTCCGTTATTAATACATACAGTATGGTCACTGCCTATTATTCTCTCGAGCTTATCTCGGCACTTATACCAAAGTAGCTATAAATGATACGCGAACAGTTACCTGCACCATGCATACTGTAATGTCTATAGACAATAGCATTTGGTGTTTAAGGATGATAATGGAATGGTAACCCCACCCGCGCTATCGGTATACACCGGCGGGGCACCAGTAAAGAATGATAGGTGAGGATGAAGCAGGTCAGTTAGCCCATCGTGACGAATTCAACAAGAATTGTTCACGATGGTTTCCAGGGGGAACCACGTGGAGGTCGACCTAATAAGATATATTGCTAGCAATGGTGCTGTCAAACTCCATTGCTAACAATCCTTTTCCCCCCTAGCATTTGGTGTTATATTGCACATATATATGTAGATTAAAGGTAGTACCAGCAGTTTATCGAGTCATTGAACTATACGGAATGGATGACATTGACAGCTGTCAAACAATGTTTTGGTATTAGTAGGGTTGTCACTGCAATCATTGTTTATATGTATCTTTATAAACTTGCATTGAATTTGTATTGTATTGAAATTAAATTAAAAAAAACGGTGCCCACTTTCCAACAAATGAGCCATTACCTTATTTGTACGTTACCTTAGTAATATAAAAATAACAAATGGATATTCACCTTAAAAGTCTCATGATGTAATCAGGCCAGTTATCAGGAAACATGACCAAGAAAAAGCCTATTGTGATCAAAATGACTCCCGCCAGCTTCATACCTTCAAACCGAGCGTCGTACAGTACCACATCTAATGCTGAAAGGAAAAAAAATAATGATTTTTTTTTGCTAATTACAAATGTGTATGTAAATAATCTTTAGAATAGTTAAGCAATCTGTAATACCAAATAAAGTAACTTTCTTTTGGAGAAGGTAGTAATTTAATCGTATTTTTAACGTTAAAAGTTTATATGTATATTTAATTAGCTTTATAATCAAAAACTATATATAAATAACTATTCTTTCCTCGGCTCCCGCTAAAAATCAGCGCTGTAGCTCATCGCTGCAACATAGCGGAGACCATTTCGAAAAACATTGTGTAATACCTTCACTTTATAAAGCTGTTATTTTACTCTGTATAAACCTTTTATGAAAATGTTTTCTGAATAAACTATTAGTTTAAACTATTATTATTTATTTATTTATTGTAATATTTTACCTGCAGAAACAGGTACAGCAGTAATCAGTGCAAGCGAGATGAATATATTGTACGTCACAACATTACCAAACTGGAATACTAGGTGGAACACTGAAAAAGAACGATACATAGTTAATAAGATAATAAAGATATCGTTGATTCGTATGATAAAGGTTGTCTGTAAGAGATCGCCCTAGCGATAAGACAACCTTTTGTACCTTTATGTGTATATTTCAATATGTATTTATGTTACTGTATTTCACTTGAATTATTCACTTGGCATTGTATATTTTTGTTTATAGTGCAATAAAGAGTTAAATAAAGAAATAAAATAAAAAAACACGATTCCAAAGGAATTTTCCCCCGCGAACACTCAGGCTTTGGAATGATCCCCCTGTCGAGGTTTCCCCTAAAGACTACTTTATAGAATTCTGCAAAAAGGTCATATTAAGGTTTCTTCAAGATTGGCAATGCACTAGTGACAGTCCTAGTGTTGCAAGCGTCTATTGACGCTACAGTAACTAATATCCGACTGGTATAGGCAACAACACAATGGATGGTCGTCAGTATCCAATGCAGTCAATAAGCAGTGTTGATTTTATTTGAATGATTCATTTGACTAATCGATATTTTAAACAATCGCTTTATGAATACAAGGGCATAGTCTAACCTAGAAGTGAGACGCTGGCTACGAGAAGATGCACCCAGGGCATGCGGTGTGACGGCAGCATTTCCGTGCCAGTGAGGTAGAGTGCCAGGCACACTGGCCACAGTAGAGATGCGCTCACCACGCCCAGTATTGAGAAAAACAACGCCCGCTGACCAGAATTCATCTCGCCCATCACTTTTCTAAACAGCACCTAGAGATAAATATTTTTATACAAATTGAAATGGCAAACACAAGCCTGTATTTACCAGAGGAAGATTTTGTACAAAAGTCGTTTGCTTGGGCACCTCTGTCCTATTCGTGAAGCAGTTGTGTTTGCATGGCTGTGTTTCGGTTTGAAGGGTGGGATATGGCAGTGAATTTACAGGGTACAGAGGAATAACACCTGAGTCCTTAGGAATAGCAACGCATGGAGAGTATCATGGATGAAACAGTATACTCTGTTATGTCCATGGTACTGCTCATGTCTATAGGCAACGGTTACCACATTCCATCAGGTGGGCCGTCAGCTTGTTTGCCATTTTAAGTTGCATAAAAAAATCTGGTATAAAGTATTCACCATCACCTATAGACAATCTATTAGAAATTATTTTCACCGCTTTTTTTTGTTTGTTTAAGATATTAGTATCAAATTTGACTTTTTTTTTAAATATAATTTTTACTAGTAAATATATACAGTCCCATATAAGATGAATATCACTATTAATACAGAATTAAAAATCAAAAACATTAGCATTTACCGAAGTATTACAAACAAAATTTTGAGCCTAAAAATTTTTCATGACGTTAAGTCCTGTTAAATTTGAACAAAATAGTCATTAGAAGCAACATCTGTTCACGAATATGACTGATAAGCCCGCCTGCAATGTATTCGACTACATTTTAGTGAGATCAACGACCCGACTCAGCACGCCGCTATAGCTGGATTATGATTATGTAATATTGTACACATAACCTATTATAGAATATCACAATTGCCCAGTCTCATCAATTCGCTATACTTTTGGCAAAATTAACAAAAACTCTAATAAAAATAAATCAATTTTAATGACACTTAATCCCATCAAAAGAATAAAAAACATTTTAATGTTTTTTTTTTTATCAAAATACGTAATATAAGTATATAGTTTACCAGAGGAAGACTTTGTACAAAAGTCGATTGCTTGGGTACATCTGTCCCATTCGTGTTTCAACCGTGAAGCAGTTGTGTTTGCATGGCTGTGTTTCGGTTTGAAGGGTGGGATATGGCGTGAATTTACTGGGTACAGAGGAATAACACCTGAGTCCTCAGGAATGGCAACGCGGGGGGGGGGGGGGGGTATCATGGGAGTATACTCTGTTATGTCCACGGTACTGGTCATGTCTATAGGCTTACGACGGTTATCACTTCCCATCAGGTGGGCCGTCAGCTTGTTTGTACTCGTCATTCTAAGTTGTATAAATAAAAAAACAGTATTACCCTTACTATTGTTATAAATATGAAAGACTTTCCCTCTTAGCACCTTAACGACATTAATGACTTTGTAATTTGGTATATACACACTATATGGTATCTATGTAGAATAAAGACCGCTTTTTATCTTATTCAGTGAGCATATTCCGGTCACACGAACGAAATTATGGGTAAAAGCTAGTAATATTATAAAGAGAAAAGATTCAGTTATTTGTTTGTAATTAAAAAAACTCAAAAACTACTAAATCGATTATAAAAAATCCTTCACCTATAGAAAGCTACATTGTCAGCAAGTAACATAGGCTATTATTATTTCAACCGTTAACTGTCCACTGCTGGACATAAGCCTTCCCTATAAGGGGAGTTTTGCCAGTAGTTGCTACGCTTGGCAGACAGGTTGGCAACCGCAGCTAGGCCTTTAAAGATGTTTTAAGAGGGACGCTGCTGCCCATCCCTCACCCTCACTTAGTCGGTATACTCAAACATAGGCTATTATACTTGTATATTATTTTCGAAATCCTATCTAACCGTGCGAAGCCGGGCCGGATCAATAGTCTACATCTACACTAATATTATAAAGAGGAAAGATTTATAATTTTGTGTGTATGTATGTTTGTAATGAATAAACTCAAAAACTGCTTTGCCGATTTCAAAAATTCTTTCGTCATTAGAAAGCTACATTCACCCTGAGTAACATAGGCTATATTTATTGCTAGAAAAGATTAGGGATCCTTACTAAAACTTTAGTAACGTAACTCAAGATGTAAAGAAAATGTTATGAAATATCTTTCGTCGTGTGCGCTGCGGAAACTATTGGTAATAGAACAAAAGTATGTTCCACAATATTGAAGAAAATATCAATACCTACAAAAAACTTCGCGATACTATATGTCCAACTATTATCGTTATGTCACAATAACCACTTTTTAAAATGTTGTAAAAATGTCCACCCGTGCAAAGCCATGACGGTCCGCTAGTATTAAATAAAATAAAACATTAATAATAAATAACAAAACCATACCTTGAATATAGCGAATCCCGCAGCGGCACACGCGGCCAGCACGACCCCACCAAGGGTGGAGCTGCCAGTGATACCGTCCATGTACGCAAGCAGAGCTATGCCCGTATCGCATAATATCGCTGCCACGATCTACACAATAAATTCTTTTTTACCCAACTGCCGAGGAAAGGTGGATAATGTGTTGGACGTGTGTCGTATATGTAAACAATCAACTGAAGCCTCAACCCCATTTTGGATTACAAATCTGAATCATATTTATTTATATTCCATGTTTTTGTTATAAAAAATATTTTAGTATTTACAAAATTTTAACAAAGCGTATTTAAAAGTGGTTTCGGATCATAACGTGAACCAACATTGTGACACGAAATTTTTATATCAACATCATCATGCCAGCCGTTAACTGTCCACTGCTGAACATCGATCTCCTCCTCGGGGGTTTCGCCAGTAGTTGCCAAGTTTGGCGGGCGGATTGACAACCGCAGTTAGGCCTTGGAGATGTTTTAAGAGGGACACTATTGCCTATCCGTCAACCATTGAGTTTCCTTAGTCGCCTCATACTACACCCACGGGAAAAGAAGGGGAGGACCGATCTATGCGGTGACGGCGATTTTAATATATTTATTTATTATTTATTACACAATAAAACTTTGTACAAGTGGCGAGCTTAATGCCATATGGCATTCTCTACCAGCTGACCATTAGGTAAAAACAGAAAGCGTATGAAGGGCAGATGTGGAGAAAAACATGTAAGATAATTATAGCAACTTACTGAAATAATAATACATAATAATACATAAGAAATACACATATAACACACAAATACTATTTATATTATTAATAAATTAAATAGTTGTATATATAGTATATGTATGAATTCTTTTTTCATAAAAATGTCACCTAAATGTATTATTTATTTATTTAACTCTTTATTGCACCATAAATAAAAATATACAATGACAAGTGAATAATTCAAATGAAATACAGTAACATAAATACAGATTGAAATATACACATAAAGGTACAAAAGGGGGTCTTATCGCTATAAATGTATAGCCAACACATTGATGTATTCTGCCTTTTTAGCGCTAAATTCTTAATTTAAAAGAAAGTGACGATACATTTTATTGTTATAAAACTATATTTCACAAAAAAAAAAAAAAAGACTTCAGTGACAAAACTAGTTATTTTAATCTACAAACTAAGTTACTGATTTTATTTAAAAAAAAAAAATCTATGGGAACAATCTGAAAGTTTATCATTTTAAATAAAAAAGTTATTTCCAAATCAATTAATAAATGACAGAGTTATGAAGTAACAAACATCATAAAAAGTCCTTCTTTTTTTAAATCAGCTGAAAATAGGTCTGTAGCAGATTTTAGTTTTTATGAATAAACGGGTGAAATGATTAAGAGACTAGACTTACCCTAACACCAACAAACTGTTCATGCAGTATAACCCACGAGAGTAGGTAGACACAGTATACGTTGGTGGCAAACAGTGTCACGACGTCAGTGGAGAGTAGGATCTTCAATGAGTATGTATACATATAGATAGTCACCACCCAGAGAAGGCAGAACAAGCCGCAGCGACTTATGAATCGTGCTAAAATATAACAATCATATTATAACAATCTATTGACTAGGAATAACTAATCTGATATCTTCTTAATATGTTTACATGTCTGGTTAGCATACTTATTTCTTGCATACTTTTCGTGAACAGTATTTATATATTTTTATGTATTTGTGTAGGCGTTTATATGCATGTATGTATATGTATTTGTATATGTGTTAGTATGTATGTGTGTATATATATAATGAGTAGGAATAATATTCATATTATTATATGTATCACATCTCATTCCATATCGCCCATACCAGTCGCATATCTATATTCATTATGAGCGGGTTTTTCTATTCGATATTTTATATTGGATAATCTAATATTTGATATTTGACCAATATATGTATAGATATTGTAACTACAACATACAGATATTACTATATATACCCACACTTACTATTGATAATTAGCGCTGTGGTAAGCATGTAGCTTTGCGTAAATGAAGTCCCAGCTTCGATTCTCGGTCAGGTCAATTTAGGAAGCAATTTTTATTAAATCTCATTGTGATCAAATTATGACCAATCCATTCAACGAATTTCATTCAATTTAATACAATCGCCTACATATTTTCAAATATACATGAAAATATGTGGGCATTTATTTAGAGGTCTAAACATTCATACAAAATTTACATTTCAATATGTCTGATTTATTATAGATAGGTCCACTGTCCACTGTTGAACATAAACCTCTCTCTTGAAGGGTTTTGCCAGTAATTGCCACGCTTGGCTGGCGGATTGGCAACCGCAGTTAGACTTTAGAGATGTTTTAAGAGGGACGCTGTTGCCCATCCCTCGCCCTCCCCTAGTCGGCTCTTACGACACCCACGAGAAAGGAAGGGGTGGCCTATTCTATGCCGGGACCACACGGTCCGATATATTACTTACCAAAAGTAAATCCCTTTTCTCTGAAATCAGTAAAGGCATCAAAAACAATATCATTGGGTGATTTACACTTGTTATGGATCAACATAACTATCACGTACAATGGATAAAAAAATATTAGCCAGTTGGTACAGAACCATGCCGTGAAGAATGGGGCATTGTACAGATTCTGAAACAATAATAGCACAGTCTTAATCCCATAAATAGAAACAACAACATTATAAATTTAATATAATAAAAAATGAGGTAAAATTTTAAGCAATTATTACTTACAGTTACATTTTTGTAATAAAAAAAAAGTTGCATATTTAACATAATAAAATAATTTTGCATACTTTGAAACACTTTGTAATATTTTAGCATTACTAAATTTACTAATGTAATTTGTTATACTGATATTTTAAATATGCAAATTTATAAAAATGTTTATTACCTAAACGTAAGATTTAACTATTTATTACATAAACATGTGATAAAGAGCTAACAAGATTAGAATCAAATTTGGTTGAACCAGATAGATAACATCATATCTACCTTATAAGTATTAATAAACACATAGGTATAAATTTAAGTAAAATAGAATATTTCTAAAACCATAACTAAATTTCAGTCAGGCACGCGTGTTTTACAGCCGCTCATGATTAAGGGTCACGAATTGAGCCCGAAACTATTTAAGCTTTCTCAATCTAATTACACATAAGATAAACTGGTAGTTATTGCATGAAAATTAAAAAATAATTTTATAACTTACATGTGTACGAACTTTTGATGTTACATTATTGTAGGCTAGTGACGACTCTGTACTGTAAACATAGCTATAACCATTGAGTACATAATTCTGGACATACATGTGCTTGATACAATGAGTTGCAGTGACCCAAGATGCGGTAAGGACGATTGTCATACATATCCCATAGTAGATCTGTAAATTATATTCCACTGTAATTTTTTCTGCCTATAAGATTTTTTATTTAAGGCTTTCTATGCTTGTCACTTAATTATAATATTATAAGTACATATTTTATCCAGATTGTGTGTAAGAGATTGCTTTTAGCAATAAGGCTGCCTTTTGTATATGCACATTCTGTATAAATACTCCTTGTAAACATATCTTTTGTGCTCTATAAAGAGTTTGTTATTATTTTGTCAAAATCAATATCTGAATAAAGTCTATTTGTTTATTTATTCTTTATTACACAAAAATTTGTACAAATGCTATTAGTACTATTTCTATACTATTCTACATACAAGTAATAAGGTGTGAATTTACTGGGTACAGGGGAATAACATCTGAGTCCTCAGGAATGGCAACGCATGTGGGGTATCATGGGCGAAACAGTATACTCTGTTATGTACATGGTACTGCTCATGTCTATAGGCGACGGTTACCATTTTCCATCTGGTGGGCCGTCAGCTTGTTTGCCATTCTAAGTTGTATAAAAATTGATATACACCAAAAGAATGCCAGTGAGACATGATATATGAGGTCAAATACAGGTCAGGTTATTGTCATGGAGAGCATGATGAAGTTATCAAGAATATCTTATTACCATGCATGGAGGTCCACATGGAGCTGTTAGACCTTACTAACAATTGTTTTCTCCTTAAAAAATATAGTATTAAATTTTATTCATGGGATTCAACTTGTTTAAAAATATACAAGTTTGCTTGACCTTTTTTTTAATCGATGATAATGGAATGGTAACCCTGCCTGTGCTAACAGTATATGCTGGCAGGACACCAGTGAGGGATGAAAGATGAGGATGAAAAGGCAGGTCAGTTAGTCCATCATGATGAATTCCACTAGAATTTTAATAAAACCGCATAGAGGTCAACCTGATTGGCTGTATTGCTAGCAATTAGTTAGTTAGACCCCATTACTAACAATCTACTCTATCAAGATAAAGAGCTCATTTAGCAATCTTTTTTATAATTAGTTATTAAAACATAAAACAGTTTACAATCAATATAAACAATGATATCATCATCATATCAGCCTTTAATTGTCCACTACTGAACATAAGCCTCCCTCTCGGGGGTGCTGCCAGTAGTTGCCACACTTGGCAGGTGGGTTGACAGTTAGACTTTAGAGGTGTTTTAAGAGGGGTGCCCATCCCTCTCCCTGCCAGTAGTTGCCACAAAGTTTCATATTGTGTTTGTAATAGCAAATTGTTTTTAAGATATACCTTCTTAGCAAATCTTGAGCAACAGGATCTGGGGCACTTCTTATCCCGTAACTGTCTCTCCTCGTCTTGGCTACTAGCTGCCGATTCGCTGAAAGCTTGCTGCAAAGACGGCTGTGTGGTCAAAGGAGGCGCTGAACACACCGAAGATTGTGGTGTAAGCGGCGCCCGCGGACTCAACGGCGTTGGTGGTCCATTAGGACGTTCTCTCTCTGAATCGCCACCAGCACGTTCGCTTTCCACTACTTCTTCACTTGTTATTATGACAGAAGGTGTGCGTACACGCTTTGGATTAAAAATAGTAGGCAGATCACCGTCTCTTGCCATTTTAGATGCTAGCATCTTAGGTACTCTTAATAAAACACATTTCTATAGACTTTTTTACAATTTCTATAAATTTAATATTATAAAAGAAATTGGTAAAAATAGAAGTATCAGCTGATTTTCATTTGGGGGCTTCATATCTTGTTCACACGACGAACACATTTGTAAAATAAATAAATTCCTATTTAAATAATTATGAATTTAAATGTAACACATATTAATAATAGAACACATAATTTAAATAACAAGAATAATTTTAAACATAATAGAATTATTATTTTTTATTTATTCCAAGAACAAATAGATGATTTTTTTTATTTATTCAATTCAGATATTTTGTTCGTCCTCATATAAATAAAAATAAGTGTATTTTTTTTTTCACTGGCTCGGATACTCAATAACTAACTCTTTCACATTCACTCATAGGGAAAGAGTATATAACTCAAAGGTAAAGAACACCTAACTACATATATTGTAGGTCCCCACTTATGATGTCTGTATCATAGATTAAGGATAGATAGGAACTAAGAACAAGGAATTACATAGAAGGAATGATAAAAACTGTAAATTATATGATTGCCTCCTTTCATCTTATGCAAATATACTTAGTAAAAAGAGGAGGAAAGATACACCATCAGTTGCTATTTTTATTTAGACTAGTGTATAAAAAACGTTACACGGCCGTACAACTCTACCAAATTCAGGCATAACCTGCTTGCATACTTTCTAATAAACTTTATCGAATATATAATCTAACAATATAAAATTTGTCCTTGACAAATAATTGACATTAAATATTTTCTGCCTTTCATTAATTTCTAGCCTACTACGAATCGAGAAAAAAGTAACTGATAAGAAAAAAATAACTAAGACGCCGTTTGTCGTATCTCCTCACTTTCAGGGCACTTCCCTTGATAAAAAGTCGAGTCTAGGAATTCTGGGCGTTGATATATCTTGCGACGTCCAGTTTTGCGGTCATCTGGAGGAGAAGGCTAAGATAGCTTCCAAAAAGTTAGGAGTGCTCAATAGGGTGAGACGATATTTCATGCCAGAACACCGCCTGAAATTATATAAAGTCCAAGTCAGGCCGCATATGGAATACTGTTCTCACCTGTGGGCAGGAGCGCCACAGTACCATCTCCTTCCGTTAGACCGCATTCAAAGTCGGGCGGCTCGAATTATCGATAGTCAACGCCTTACTGTCCGACTTGACACACTGAAACTGCGCAGAGATGTTGCATCTCTGTGCATCTTCTACTGAATTTATCATGGGGAGTGTTGTGAGGAATTGTTCGGATTGATACCTGCTGCTGATTTTCAGCACCGTACAACCCACCACAAACTAAAGTTTCATCCCAATCATCTGTGGTGTCAAAGTCAAGCACGCCAAGTCAAGCAGTGGCGGTCTTCCACCGTGCGTTTTTCAAGGCACTTTCTTCCACGCACAACCATTCTTTGGAATCAACTTCCAGCAGCAGTATTTCCGAACCGATACGACAACATAACCTTCAAGAAAAGAGTATATTCCTTTTTAAAAGGCCGGCAGCACACCTGCAATGCCGCTAGTGTTGTGGGTGATCATGGGCGGCGGTAGTCACTTACCATCAGGTGAGCCGCATGCTCGTTTGCCCCCTGTGTTGTAAAAAAAAAAACTGATAATATATGTCACTTCCTCTTTTTACTAATAATATTAGTATAAGAAGAAAAGAGGCAACCATATAATTGACTGTTTATATTTTATCATTCCTTGTTCTTAAGGATAGGAATTTAGCAATAAACTAGTATTGCCTAACATGCCACTTACAGGGGGAAAGAGTTAGCAATTGAGTTTGACAGCCCCACTGCTAGCAATATGCCCTATTAGGTCGACCTCCATGTGGTTCCCCCTAGAAACCATCGTGAACAATTCTTGTTGAATTCGTCACGATGGGCTAACTTACCTGCTTCATCCTCACCTATCATCCTTTACTGGAGCCCCGCCGGTGTATACTGATAGCGCGGTGATACTGATTATTACCATTAAAAACATGCCACTTACAACACATACAATAGACGAGAAACGGAACACAAAATAAAGGAAGACATAGGAATTTTGGATAAATTTTTTTTTGTAATCATACGTTTTATATTATTATTACTAAAAATAAGGCTTGTGTTTTGTAAATAGAATAGTCAGGAAAAACTATTAAACATAAGAGAGAAATAGGGAATGGAACTTATAAAAGTAACAAGAGAAGAAAATATAATTTAAATCATAAACATCCACTTATGACAATTTTATTAAAATTTAACATAAAACACGAAGGTTTTATAAGAATTGATATGTATAAAAAAAATTGACAATAGTTTATTTTTATACCACTGAGATAGAAAACAAGCATACGACTCACCTGATGGCAAGCGGTTACAGTAGCATATAAACGCCTGCAATGCACGTATTTCCCCCGGCATTACGCATGCGTGTCCGTCCCTGAAGAAACCTCTTTATCCCTTTTTTAAAGAACCTTATGCTTTACTCTCTTAGAAAAACCTCGAATAACCTGAGCGTTTGTGGGTGGAAACATCTCTGAAATCGCGCTATATGCAACCATTTAGGCTCTAAGGTATGGGGGTAAACTTATCATCATGGGGGTGGGCATCATGTTGAACAATTATTCTGAGCATAGTCCGTTGTACAAGCGATAGAATACACAGAGTGAGGCAAAAACTCTTCTAAGACTTAAGGGTTTGATACTGCTTGTTAGCTTGGGATCATCAACAATTCTCATAGCTCGTCGCTAATCCAGCGTGAAATATTCTTTTGTTCTATTCAGTACACCGAGTTTTTTGAATGCCAGCCTCACCTTATCTTCAAGGTTGCCGCAGAACTGTCCGTCACTAGAGACGTCGACGCTAAGGATCCCAATGCTTTTACGAATGTTAAGACCCGTACCTTGGAATTGTGGAGCCAAAGAAAATGGTTTTTTAGCGATGAACGTGATAGTGATAGCTTTTATCTCAGGGTTAAACTGGACCAGAGATAATATTTTGCAATAATGAATATGTAAATAATACTATACTACTGGACTAAGTTTTGTTGTCCCCAATCAGAGACCCTAGCTAATATTTTCTTCATTTGAGATAGAAACTATTTACGATCGTCTCCAACGATTAAAACGATGGACATTGATACAACCTGTTTAATGTGTGCTTTCATCCGCATAACCATGAATGTTGCCTAAGGTTAACATATCATAAATATGCAGCAGCAGAAACAGCTTTGGTGATCAAACAGAACCCTGCGGGTCGCAATCGTTTATGTTTATTCTGTACGAGCAGCATCCATTTACAACGGTTTTTACATACCTGCTGGACAAATTACTCGTTGTCTTCTCGCACTCCACCTACGAGAGAACCGGGAAAACCTGTCCGGGCGCGTTTTGCTCCTCTCAGGTAGTGTCTATCAGCCGCGCATGAAAATGCGCGGGTCATTGGAGTTGTTACTCGACGGCTGCTACTTGATGCGACGTCTAACTCAATCTACGCGGTTTTCACCTACCGGGTGAGACCCCATGGGAGAGGCACAGTAACTGCCAGCGTATGAATGAGCCAGGCGGCAACATTGCCTTCATCAGGGATCGGCTTCTACTTCTTGGTCTTCGTGTACGCGAGCTATGAGTTCGTGTGCATACAGCTAATAGTCTGGAGGTCGCGCGTGTAGGGGTGCCAGACCCTTGAGGTGGTCCCAGGTCGACGCATCCACGCGCGCGAAGATCTTGGTAGCCAAGCTGCCGATGAATTCGCCTGGCGGATTGATCTGTAGGTCCTTCTTCTGGTGTTCCTCACGTACTTATGAGCTCATAATATAATAAGGCATAAAGCGTCTGTCCTGAAGGAAGGAGCCTTCTACTCGGACCAGCCTTCTTGCGTGTCAATCTGTGTGGCCAACTTATAAAGCAGACCGTTGTACCACATGCGGACGAAAGTCTTCTCCATGTCCAATAACACTGCAATGACGTACTCACGCTTGTTGTGAGCGCTCGTGACATATGTAGAACTCTTGTCAATTGCAGCGTCGTGGTGTATTCCACCCTGAACCCGAATTTGCCGGTATGACTCCGGTTGCTTACATTCTTGCCAGGCTTAGGCAGCATAATGACTTTGCCTATCTTTCATAGGTCTGGAAAATACCCTGTGCGCACAATACCGTTATATAGGCGCGTCAGTGTTGCAATGGTAGCAGGTGACGCGGCGCCGTATTTGATATATTATCATTGCTGGGGGCTTTCCGAGGCTTGGTCGAGGTCGGACTGGGGGGGGGGGGGTGGCGACTGGTCAGTCAGCGACACAGACGGTGGATGCTATTCCAATCATCGCCGGCTTCTTCCACATATCTTTTCCAACTTTCCTTCTTATGGGACTCGATGTCGCTCTTGAGTTCGGCGGTTAGTTTGTTCAACCCCAAACAAATGTTGATTGGGGGTGGGGCATCTTGTGTCCTGCCAGTCTCTGCGCATACGAGGCTTGTCGGCGAGATTTTTAAGGATTGCGGTCGGTATTCCGCTCGTTGCCTTGTTGATGCTACACGGCTGGGTCGTGTCTTGAATGGCGGCTTATATGGAGACTAACAAGTCTCCTGCAAGTCGCTCGACGTCGGCTGAGGTTGAAATTGCCATCGTTGGCGTATTCTGAAGCATCAATTCCTTGAATCTTTCCCAGTCGGTCCGGCGGCACGAGACCTGCGGTGTCAGGTGTACCGGAGTCATTGGGATATCCATGCACACGGGCAGGTGATCAGAAAGAATGTCCTCCGAGAGAACCTCCTGCGTCGTTGACCAGCCCTTTATAGAAAGCTATGTCGAGCACGTTGAGGATCGTTGTGGTGTCGTGGAAATAGTGCATTGGGACTTCTGACCCGTGAACGGTGATCTCCAGTTTTCCACTATCCCCAGGAGCTTTTTGCTTTCGGCACCGATCGTATTTGAATTCCATGATGTGTGTTTGCAGTTTCAGTCTCCTGCTGCGATGCAGGAAGCAGCGATTCGAACAAGGCTTCAACGTCAGCTGCTGCTAGCTTGTTGATCGGCAGTTTGTATACTGCAAACACACGGATGGGACTTCTATTATTACATAACTCTACCCTAAATGCGTACATAGTTAAAAGTTGCACCTGGAGGAGTGGCTGTGAACGATGTTTCTCTTCACTAGGACAGCCAACCCGCGGTACACCCTTCGGTTGTCCGTGAGTTAGTCCTTGTGGTGTGCGTAGTAAAATGTTTGATATGTCAATTATTTGTCAATGACAAATTTACATTACTAGATTATATATTCGACACAGTTTATGCAGAAATTATGCAAGCAGGTTGTATCTGAATTTGGTAGGGTTATACGACCGTATTATATAATATTTTCTATACACTAGCCTATATATAGTATATCTTTCGTCTTTTTGTACTAATTATATTTACATAAAAAGAAAGGAGGCAATTATGTGATTTACAGTTTTTATTTTATTATTCCTTCTATATAATTCCTTGTTCTTAGATATTTTCGACTTGCATAGATTAAAGATAGTAAGGAACATGCATTAGTTTTTTCTCTGTGGGTAAGTAATTGTTTACTTCAAGAGCCATTAGATCATTCTTATAATAACATTAACAATAACTATCTCTCTAAACTAACTATATCTCCAAGTCTTTACCGTTTCTTTTTAATAATCGTCTCTTTTTCTATTAATGGCATAACGGAAAAAATTGTACAAGAAATATTTTAGGTGGTCATTGACTGACATAGATAAACAATAATACATGTATTACTACTATTTTAGTTTTCAGATGTATGGTAACATTTTATACTTTCTGTCAATAATCAACCAATAGGAAAGCGTAAAATAAACTACACTCTTTATTTATTGGCTGACATTCAGTATAATAATATTTAATTGCCATTACAGAAAAACCATTATTAAAACGTTATTAGTCCGATCGTTTTTCAAATAGGTTTTCAGTTTTATTATGTATCTTTCTTGCACTTAAGTATGTTGAAAATGTTAACGATATTATCATTAATTATTTATTATAATAATGATAATCTTCATCGATATAACTTTGCCTATTCCCTTGTACTTATAAAATCGTAAAAAAGTAAAAAATTATACTCTATTACAAAATTGTGCGTTTTTGGAAGTAGATGGCAGCACATTAAGTTCATATTTTCTTCGCCAGAGGGAGACTGAAGTAGATAATTGGATAGCCTACTTGAAGCATCCGGGACAGGAACTCGCCATCCATAGTAGTAGACATGGCGGGCCACAATCTGGCTAAATGACGAAATAAATCTTGTTTGCTTATATAAAAACGTGTTAATTTCATAGAAGAAGTGTTGATACTGAAAGACTAATTAAGTTTTATTGTATTAGGACAAAAATGCAGAATGTTGGACAGTCTGAAAACCGAAATATCGATAAGGTGAATGTGCAACTTGATTTGGTAAAATCGTCCACTCCTCAGAGTTCGGCTTCGAGTCCGGTCAAATCTGAAACCGAAACATATTCAGGAGTGCCTGCCAAATACATGACGGACTCTTCGGAAAGCGAGGATGATTCTGTGTCCGAGGTAAAACGTGTTTTGTTTTCAACAGAGGCGGTGGCAGTGAGAGAATGTGATTATCTGTACCGCTCTAAATACTGCAAGGGACATCTTGTACATGTCTTGTTTGCTCGTACTATTTCTTTATAGATCAAATTAAGATGAAATTTAGCAATATTTGTTTAATATCGTGCGTAGCATGCCACGAGAGGCTAATCTATTATACATTCCCATTGAAGTACGTTGCTTGCCAAATATTCCGTAAAACGTCAGAAAGTCATAAGTACATACGTACTACTGAGTAATGCATGAAATTATTTATGCCAGCCGCCTCTAGACAGTATTTAATTGATTCTTTGTTATTTCACGATATTAACGGTCTAGATTCCCGTAAGGTTCTTTTCATTGTCTATTTGTGTTTTGGATAAAGTGAACTACGGAGGCCATGTTTCTTGGATCACGCATTTTTTCAATGTACATCGACGATTCATGCATCTATGCGACGTTGTTTTGATCTACATGTCTGTTTTATTTAATTTTGTGTACTGTCCGTATAAACGGCAAGTACACTCGAGTGTTTTGACGCGACAACGAGTGCAAACCCATCGACTAGTATTCGCGCAAAAATGATGGTTATTGGTGAATTACTAGGACCATTAAAAGCAACCGCTAGCCGTAAGGTCGTCCTTGCACCACATGCTCAGTATGTCTCATATATTTCTCATTGGTGTTATAGATTTTGCTGGCTTGTTTGTGCCTAAGTAGGCCAGACCTGTTGGTAAGTCGAAGATAACCTTACTGAGTGCGGAGGGCTTCACCAACACCAATTGCTGTTTGAGTGACTTACTGTTAACCTTCATAATGTGTGTGCTCTGGACGATTTCAAACCACTCATTTTCTTAATATTGAATGGTCCTTGTAATTCTAACCAAATACCCGATGCTACCCACTGACCAATGTGTCAATCAGTGTCCGCTTACTGTAACATACTAATCAATGTATACTTGCTTCTCAAGTTTGTCTTGACATATTATTATTTGAATAGATTCCAATACCTTTTAAGATAAACTATTTGTAATACAAAGTGTTATTGTAGAAATTGTTTACAGATTTAATTGTTTTACTGTAATTTTAACAAATAATAATTATATGATCAACAAATCATTAAATATATGCTAAAGACATTATTTTGCTAAGGCTTACAATATTTTTAAAATGCTGTTAGGTTGTTTTTTTTTTTCTAATTATGTACTTCTATTACTTTTATTTAATTCTATGATATGTATATCCTTACTAAGGTTCCTATTTTGTTTGCCTAACCAAACATGTGTTGGACTAAAACACTGCATGTGACCAATTGCTAGATACTGATTATTAACATGCAACAATTTATTATATTATAATGACCCACATACCATTAGTTGGTCTAGGAAATGTATTTCATTTCCTTGCAACTAATGGGTTTACTAACTTGAATATAAATTAATATATTATAATTAAAATAGTTTAATAATTATTAAAATCACTTTAATAATTTGTGAAGATATTGTGGCATAAAAAGTATATTTGAATAGAAATGTCTGCCATTTTTAAGATAACTAATTAAAAAAAATCAAAAACTTCTATTGGCCTTATTATATTGTATCAAATCCAATGACTAATGATATATGTACCTATGTGTATGTATAGTCTTTAGAATCCACTCTATGAATTTTTAAGATAATGGACACTTCAGAAGAATATATTTACTTTGTAGAATAAGTCTAATATATTAAGCTGTTTATCGCTGTAATTCTGTTTTACAGTAACTACCTTTTTACCTGCTATTTCACATAATTAGATTTCAGAAGTAGAAAAACTAATGAAACAAACTTCTTCTAGATGATGTATTAAGATAAAACATACACCAGATTTTAAGTTAAACCTTCAGGAACACAACTGTAAAAAAGGCATCCACTTTGATGCAGTTGTTTTTGCTAAATTTCTAAAATTTATTGTTTTGTCATCTATTGTTCTAATTAAAACCGTTCATATCAATTTTTCATTAATATCTCTCATGTACAAACATTGTCTAGATACAATTTTTCTGTACCTGTTTAAATATGAATACCTTCTGACTATAATGTATGTAAATAGACAAAGTTAGTTGTACTTACATAGTAACCCAGAACAACTACAGTTATATTAACAATAACAAATAATCTATTTTAAAATATCTGTAACTTATAAATAAAAATATCTTTTATTATTCTTTTTAGACAATACATATTTTTAAGCCATTAAAGTTATTACTTATTCATAAAAATAGAAGGAATTTAAGTTCCGTTTTACATTTGAATTTACCTCTATATCTATTTTATTGTGTATGTTGCATAATATCTTCACCTATTCTAATTAAGTATTTATATTTTTTTAGCAAACAGTAAAGTTTACTCTTATGTTGGACACATATTAATTTTCTCATAGTAGCTTTTTTTTATTTTATTGTGAAATATATCTTATTTATGAGAATATGTAGAGACCGCATGTACCAAATAAATGGTACCATCATTTTAATTATCCCATTTATTAGTGTAATCAATAATGCTAGCTGTTTACTTCTACTTTGCCCTGGAATTTTGGGAAAAACAACCTTTTATATTGATTTGCCTTGACCTTTAAGCTTGGTGATCTGACCATGATTATTCTATGCTTATTTGGAGTTTAATTGATTCCAAACTCTAAGGACTTGTATTGTTTTATTAGAGTTTTTATAGCAACCTTATTATCATAATATTACATTCTCATCCAAACAAGTATACAATAGTCACCTCTATTGCAACCCAGTAAAGTGCTTAAAAATTTGTTATAAATGAACCAGAAAGATGAATGAAGAATGTAAATGAATTTAAACTTGCCAAAAAGAACCCATAATTACAGTTGAAGTTTCGAACCCTAATTGATTTACGTTTTATCTTTGTCAGTCAGATATTCACTTTTGCAATTTGATATGTCAGCAATTTATATCAACAAGATGACTTTATGGATAGAAATTTGTAAATTAGATTATATAAAGTCACTTAAAGCATCCCTTTTGACTCTCATGATCATATATACATTACAATTTAACCAAAATCAATTTATATGAAATTTACATATTTTATTCTACACCATTTCTGGAAGGTTAAATATCTATGATTAACCATAACATTTATTGGTGCCTAAAGGTAGTAAACTCTACCGATTGTAAAAAGAGTTGTCAAATTCAGGTCATATATAGTAATAAGTAGTCTATTACTCTAAGGTTGTCTTGATTCAGCGATTGTATTCAGCGATAACATTGCCTCACTGTACTTATACAACTGTATCGTTACATTTATCAATTGTCTTGCTTATTCCCTATATTTGTATAATGCAAATAAATCATTTATTCATAAAATTTTGTTACATACTCATTAAAAAAAAACATAATTGAATTAAGAATCTAAGATATTTACATGGAATTCATTTATATACATACATTACACCTGATATTTTTATTGTTTTGCTTTGCGAGATTAAAAAAATTATACAATACAAGCTGTTCAGGAATTAAAATTTATCAGTTAAATTCTGAATATACTGTATATTTTAATAACATTTATTAATACATAATATTTGTACATTGGCAGGCGGAAATGGAGGAAGAAGGTGGTGGTGCAGAGTCATCCAAGTTCCTACTGTCTCACGATGACCCTGAGAGGGCCGTTGACCCTGAAATGCAGGCGAGACTTGAAGCCCTACTGGAAGCAGCCGGTTAGTCCATAATATGCATTTTTCATTTAGATTATTAAAGATAGAATTAAAAAATTTGAATTACAAGACTATTTATTATATTCATCAGTAAACTTAAATTTATGTGTAAATTTTATTATCACTTGTTTCTTATTATATTACAAATAAGTTTTAGAATTATTATAGTTTTCTAAAATGGATAGAATGTGTCAATTCCTAATATAGGTAAATTTAAGGGTACAAATTTAAATCACAGGCAGGTATAATGAGTAAATTCAATTCTATTCTCGGTACTGATTTCGTTCATTCATATTTAGCTATATCTAAAATTTTAAGTCCTTTTATCTTCCTTTTTTTACTTATCTAATAATTCCTTTATCTCTCTTCCTCTCTCTACACTTTTCTTTATCATCTTAGATATCGGGAAGTTAATAGAATAATCTTTATTTAAATAGACATGTTTACAAATACTTTAAGGTCATTTTTTTTTCATAGATATACCGGAATGTTCTTATCTGTGATAGAAATTAAAAAGTATGATATTTAAAACATTAACATCTATTTCATTTTTTAAATTAAATATCTATGAAATTTCCATAGTTTTTGAAAGAAAAAAAAAAGATATTTAAAATCACTTTACAACATTGTAATATAATAGAGAAATACTTGTTGTATATGGTACAAGTTAAATACGTACTCAACATTGACAACAAAGGTGATTGGAAATAAATTAACTTTGTATTATTTACTATACTTACTGGACTAGTACCTACTGTCACTTCGGTATGAAATTCAAATTTTAATTTAATTTGAAAGGACTATTACAAATACATTTTCTACTCGATATCGCAATATATTCCTTTTTTAGGATTAACATTATAATTCATGGCAATTGGAAATAAAAAGAATGAGGTAGTAAACGAAACTGAAGCTGTTTTTACAATGACAGATTACAATTTTAAATTTGACATTCGTAATTGTCAACTGATATTACATTGATGTTTAATTGATATGGATTTAATGGATCTTTTGATTCGATTTAATTATAATTAAACAAAATGAGCATATAATCGATATTTCTTAGTTATAACATAGCAGAGATAAGTTACAAAGTCTGAATTATAAAATTTCCACAGTAGTGGTAAATAGTATAAAACCACCTCCACGATTTTATTTATTTTTACCAGTGTTAAAGGTTATTAACCTTATTTATTTATTCTATTAGCCTTAAATTGTTGTAATATCTTCAGGCATTTTATGTAACTTTAAAAACAAATTACAAATATTGTAAAAACAGCAACAATAAAAAGTACCTATGCAGTGACATGAAAGATAATTTATGCGACCGAACCATAAAATAACGGTAACGAATACTTTGAAATTACACCCTTATACTACATGGTTACAGGGTATTTTAATGGGGTGATATTGGAATGGTAGCGCCGCTCGCGCTATCGGTATACACAGGCGGGGCACCAGTGAAGGATGATAGGTGAGGATGAAGCAGGTCAGTTAGCCCATTGTGACGAATTCAACAAGAATTGTTCACGATGGTTTCCAGGGGGAACCACGTGGAGGTCGACCTGATAGAGTGTATTGCTAGCAATGGGTTCATTAGACCCCATTACTAACAACCCTTTCCCCCCGGTGACAGGATATTAGGTGTTACCACTAAACTACCTGGTGACAGGGTTTAACTTTTACTCGGAAGTAACGTTGGATTAGCTCATTCATTAATTGTTCCGTGTTTATTAATACAAAAATTGTTTAATACTGACTTGTTACTTGAAGCAATATTAATCTGGCTTTACCCTATATCTATTAATAAGAGAATAAAATATGGGGCTTCTATCTTTGACATATTGCGGCTGTAGAGGGCGTGGCCTTCGAAATTATTTGGCAATCAGGTAACTGGTTCCCGTTAGATTTGGTCGTCTGAGTACTTATGATCAAAAGCGCTCTATATCTAACTTATTGTCTCAGGAGACCGTCCGTTACGAGAACAACGATAATACGTTCCTACACTTTTGTTTCGCACATTACTCGTGTTTGATTACAGATTTATGTGATATATAATAACAACACGATTTTATTATGATATAAACATTCTTTAATAATGGTAATATCGATATTGCTAAACTAATAAATTTCACTCTTTATATTATAAAACATTTACATAAATAGAAGTTTCATAGATATCAAATTTAAATATTTGAATTTAGAATTCTTTGGAGAAAACAATGTTTTACATCGTGACAAAATTGATATAGGATCAAAAATTATATTAAATTATATCCTATTAATATAGGATTGTAAAAAGATGTCCAAAATTGGCTCAGAATTTGTGAATAATATAAAACTGTATATAATATAAAATATATAGACAAAAAAAAAATACAGAAATTGAGTATCTCCTCCTTTTTGAGTATAAATTTAAAATATTGAAGCATTTTAAAATAAGTTGTATTACATAGATGTGTTTAGGTTGTTATAAATTTATATAAAAATCAAATTGATCCAAAAGAACCGATAGTAAACTGAGCCTCCGAGAGAGCGTGCGGTATGAGAGTCACCACCACGAGCACGTGTTTGACAAACCTTACTGAATGTGTACAGCAGCGTCCTTTAAATTACATAAATTGTTGGATTCCACGAATTTGTTATAGGTTAAGTTTTTATTAAGTTTCATTTAAACAAATAAGTTCTATTTGTTGTATAAAAACCTAACCAAGTTGCCGAAATGATCACAGCAACACTCACTAAATGAAATTAGCAACAAATGGAAACATTGACTCTATATTTTTTTATATTTAAAATTATATTGGCAGTCTGTTTTACAGTCTGGTCGCTCGTTTGTTTATATCGTCATTATGTTTCATTGAAAGACACCACTCATTCCATTCTGTCTACAAATTAATACGAACAGTTGAAATCGAATTCATGCCATGGACTTTTTAACACAAATGCATTTACAAACGTTGTCTATGTAAAAAAAATCGATAACTTGAACACGATAGCTCGATTGGCAGAATGACGCGTAACCACTAGCTGCTGGAAAAACGTATTTGAATAACTATTTTTTTAATGAAAAAAGTACTTGAAAATCTGCATTGAAATTTCAATTGTTATGATAAATTTATGAGTGTTTATACATATATGAAATAATATCAGTTGCCTTATTCTGAAATTAGAATACTAGAGATGGGTAAATATTTTACTGAGGCCCAAAACAAATTGAAAATTTTTCTTTTATACCACGAAGATGGCAAATACAGCCCATCTGATGGTAAATGATCACAACCTATGGACGCCTGCAACACTAGGGGTGTCACGTGCGCGTTGCGTTGCGTTCTTAATATTAGAGAACGGAATAACATTTTGTTTCCAACAGATTTCAATAAGAAGGCGGTTCTCATTTTTTTTGTATGTTTTTTTTTATATTTGTTACCTCATGACTCCGTTAGTTCTAAACCGATTTGAAAAATTGTTTTTTTTTTTTAATGAATAAACTTATAGATTGGTCCCATAGAAATTTTATCAAAATCGGTTTAGTAGGTTAGTTTTTAAATCAAAATAACAGGTTCTGACACAATTTAGGTTTTTTTTTTTGTATCTTTATTATATTACAATTTGAATTACTTTATCTAAGTAATCGCACAAGAAAGTCTTATAATCAATGTTAGTTTGTAAGAACTAATCAATCTCAATTTTTGGCCAGTTTTTATATTGTTAATGAACGACCACTCAAATAATTCCACCACTTATTATTTCACTGACAGCTTGATGACGTCAATATAAGGACTACTGTGATATTGAAATCGAATTAAAACAATATATTCTCAGGCATATTAAACTATTAATATACATAATTACATAAAAGAATAATTAATGTCTACAGTTTTTAAAGTTTTTTTTTTTTTTTTAATAAAAAAGGTAATGGATCCGTATCCTTCGCACTCTCTGTTCGTTTGCGCTGTTAGGTTCCAGTGAAGGATGATGAGTGAGGATGAAGTCGTATCAGTTGACCCAGAGTATTGTAAGTCTGGGCAGATACTACCGACTTATTCCTACTATAGCGCGCAATCCGTGCGTTGTTGTTTTGGTCTGAAGGGTAAAGGTCGTCATACGTTTCACACCGCTCCGACACACCAAGCGAATTGACATTTAAATTTAGACTTTATTAGTCGTGTTACGTATAATACATTTTACAATGACATGATTACCCAACGGTTCGATGGTAGGCAGTATCGGCAAGCGAGCCATTGGCTTATGTGTCTTGTTATTGTAAAACGTGTTATACTACACATAACTCAAAGATCAAATTAAAATGTCAACTTGCACGCTTTGTTGGAGGGTTTCTGTAAGAATGAGTAACGTGCATTAGATAGCCAGTCTAATCTCTAACACCAGTGGTACAGGAGTAGTAATCCATAAGAGATGCTATGTTTTCTACCATTTCCCGTAACACTGAAACAGTTTATGGGGATTCCATATTCAAACGAGGTAGACTCTTTGAAATATTAATTTTACACTAACTCACAAGCAATAGCTAATAAGAACGAGTATAAATACATACACTATATACGTACAATATATATTGGCTTTTATTTTTAAGGTCCAAAACAATCGAGTTCTAATACAGGTCGAGGTTAGATCCGTTAGGTCGATACCTCGAGTCTACGACACGTTTCCATTACAATCATGATACTGCAACTTTAATTTCTAACTAATATTACATTTATTTTTGTTTTGTATTTACATAATTGATCCATAACGAAAGCTATACTTATATATATTTTTTTTTATTATACTACCTTAATAAAGCATGAAGTTGAAAATTCTTTGCAGTGTTTTTAATGAGATAAATATAACATTTTATATTAAATTAAGGGCCCGCTCGAGCGTCGCACGGGAAGATAGGAAGAAAAGATAAATTAGTAAATTTTTTTAATAAAATACAGCCCATGTTTCTTGTTGATAATGTAGCTTTTTCTAGATGAAAGAATGTTGAAAATCGATTA